CACAGCCATTTGGTGGCATGTGCACCATTCTTGGCAAAGTAGATCATTTCCTGAGAGTTCATAGCTTGTAGACACGCACACGCACACACAGAGACACACACACACACGGCGACGGATCACAAAAAGAGCGACATCAAGATCACAAGTTCAGGTCGAGCAGCAGTGGCAATGAAGCCAAGCTGAGAAGCCTTTGTGCCAAGACTGCTTTGGCGCTTGAACAGTTTAGGGTTTGGTTTTATGTTGCAGCGACACCTATTGTGGCTCCTGTTGGCCTGCATCCGTCCCTTTGCCTGAATCTGAGCCAGGCACAACGATGGACACCTGCTCAAGCCACTGACGGCAATGCCCGATGGGGCAGGTCGGTGGATTGCTGAATGTGAAAGCCCTTCTACATGTCTTCTCAGCCGTCGGCATACTATGACCAAAGGACTTGGGAATCATGACAACTAAGAGAAGACATGAACACCTGCAGATACCTAAAGAGCTACAGCCGGCTGATGGTGATCTGAGAAGCTAAATGGACATCTCAGCCCTAAAAGTAGCAATGGATGTGAGGCTTACTACTTCGAGCACATGTATACTGAGATCTGTGCATCACCTGTACACCATATGTGTTTTCATACGACTCGATGACATAGCTTTCGAACGAGCTGCATGTGGCCTTCACATGTATACTTATCCATGCACACATGCGAGAACAAATACATACATACCTAAATACCTACGTACATACACGCATGGACCTGCTACGAACCAGGCTCTCTTTTCGATTCCGTACGTACTATGAAACCGACGAACCTCCTGTAGGGGTGCCCAAACAGGGAGACTTTACAGAATCACGCCGGTATGAATGGGCTTTGAACTTTCTGTTTTGATCATTTGCTTATTGTTTTTGCTCCTCCGATATACCGGTATATATATATATATATATGACACAGCAAATAAATAGATACCTGTATATATATATATATATATACATATTTCTGTTTATGTCTATTATGTGCACGCAGCGAGCAGCCTCGACGGCCAGGGCCCCGCCGGGCCCCAAGGCACGGAGGGCCAGGAGTCCGAACGAGCCGCCGCCAACCTCTGTCCGGGCTTTTCCCTGGTGCCACTGCCACTACTACTACTACTACTACTACTACTACTACTACTAATACTAATACTAATAATAATAATAATAATAGTAATAACAATAGTAGTAATAACAATCATAATAGCAATAACAATCAATATGATAGTTGCTACTCTGCTGCTGCTAGGAATAAAACTGAGACTGCTCGTGCGTCACTAGTTTGACTGCGACCAGTTTCCTCGTGACTGCGTGTGCGCGCATGCACGAAATCTACTCGGCCCAGGACCCCGGCTTCGTTAATTGCTGACGTTGCACAAGGACGATCTTGGGAGTGTTTTTTCACAGGCTCAGAGTACGTGATGTGGGTGGGTGCTCACCCTGACTGATTACGTGCACAGGATTCCGAAACGAAGGCAAGTCTTTAAGATCCATTCGCGGCACAACGTGTCGTAGCCACATGCCACTTCCAAGGCCTGCCGGTAGGCGGCAAGGAGCTTCCGCATGCACCAGAGCTCCAGCAACCTTCGTGCAAGAACAAGGCGATCGAATCGGCACCAGACCCGATTCAGTCCTTCTCCTATGCTCACTCGTGAAGGGGCAACTGACATGAAGTGTGGTGTGTGCTTCTCTGCCTTTTCTGTCACTTCGGGCTGGCATCTATGCCGGACTAAACACGGAAGGAGATAGATTAGAATGCCTGCCCAAGTCTGCCACCAGTCACATGCAGCCGGGTGACCCCATGAAGCAGAACAGCAGATTGCCAGACCTCGAAGCTCAGCAGTTGAAGCTCTGCATGACTCGAGCAGCCCGTGTCGTGTCGAAGATGATGCAGTAGTGGTGTGCAGCTGTGTCATGTGGCTTGTCTCAGTCAGCTGCACAAGCCCAGCTTGAAGAAACTCGCCAGGAGCCACAAGCAGCGTGCCGCCGAGAAAGGACCTTACAGAACTCCATCGTTCTGACCGCAAGCTTCCTGATTTCTCGCTAAGGCTTCTAGTGGCCATAACATCATCTTGGACCCTCGCTTCAAGATCACCAGCACGGTGGCCAAGTCCGAAGATTGTCTCCTGGAGAAAAGATGTCTGCAATTGAAGCAATACCGAAGTTTTGCTAACTTACGGCACTTTTATATTGCCGGTACTCCTGTCCTACTCGCAAGACAAAGCTCTAGACCAAGTGCTGGGTAGACTGTGGGCATCATGAATACGACTATCGTAGTCTGTCGCCACCACCACTGCTATTACATCAGGTCAAGAAGCCAGAAGCCAGAACATGCTGCTTCTCTAACTGGGTAGTTGTCAAAATTAGGGTCCCTTTTTGGGTACCCTAAAAGATGGGTGCCGTAATTATTATAGTAGGGACCCAAGAAGGGGCCATAATTTTGACAATCACCCAACTGGAGAACTGCAGCCAAGCCCTGCTCCGCATGTCTTTATGAATGCCACTCGGGCCTGTTGCGCCCTGAAACCTTCAAACCGTGAAGCTTAAGCCGGTGACCAGCACAAGACGTAACCCTCAACCCTACAGCTCAAACGGCCCTACATCCTGCACCCTGTACACAACCCTGACCCCTTAGAACCGAAATCACCAGCAACATGTGTAGAAGATCAGTCAGAGGCCTTGCTCGAGACGGCGTTATCGGTGAGGCCTCTCCGGACACCTCCGGCCTGGCTTCAGTCAGAAGGCGGACAGGGCAATCAGAATGACTATTGATGAAAACGGTGGTCGTGATGATGAGAACAATAAAAAGCACCAGCACTCTGATAATGGTCACCATTGCACTGCCCTCGCTGCTTCAAATGATTCAGCGTTTTGGTGAGCAAGATACAGGCAACGTGAATTCGTGCATTCACAGATGCTTGCAGCGGCTTCGAAAACGATCCTGCTGCAAAATATCGGTTAGACGCGTCGACTTGGCCTTGCCAAAGCAAGGCAACTCTGAAACAGCAAGAGGGTACTTAAAGGCTCATGGGACTTAGTAAGTAAGGTTATAAGTAGGTATTATTTAGGATAACCCCACTTAGGGGACTTATAACCCCAATTATAACCTACTTACTAAGTCCCATGATCCTTCAAGTAGCCCTGGGACTGAGACCCAGACTCCGAGGAAGCCGGAGCATTGAAGAGCTCCACTTCGGCCTGCGCCATCCTCCAGTAGTGCTCCTGAGCTCTCGAAGGGTGGGGTTTGGGGCTCAGGCTCCCAAGTCAAGAGACTGCTGGAGGGCTCTTATAATGAGGATCCTACTATTTAGAGTACCATATTAGGGTCCCCTATTTTCGGAAACTCCCATATGACTGACCTTCAACTTAACTAGCAGCTTCCCTGGTCGGCTTACTTTGTCGGGCCGTCGAAGAGCCCATCTCAAACTTGAGTCATTCTAACCAAGCGCCGTCAGGGGCTATGCTTCCATCACTGCTCGAACTAAGCACAGCACAAAACACACATGATGCACCGAACCGGCCTGGATGTCGAAAGAGACGTCCAGAACAAACTCGACAAGCTGAGCATGGCAGCTGATCTCGGCGCCCTGGAAGTCCTGCGGCCAAAAAGAGCTTTTTGCCCGGCTTGATCTTTACGAGAGTAAGGAGTGCGTTGGGACGCTGGAGCAGTATAGTATATGTGTAGTCAAGTGAACCTCAGTATCCTAACAAGACGCTCTCTTCAAGACTTCGACTCGCAATGCAGAGCCCCGACTTTCGATGGATGAAACTTTCGCGGAAATCTGCCACAACCCACAGATCAGAAGGTGCTATTCCTCGTACTCAGACTCTCACTCTGACCGCTATCATCCGGAACCCCCAGACCCCGGAAGCCCCGAAACCGAAGCCTTTCAACCTTGAAACCTCCTGAATGCCCTTAAACTTAACCCTACCTAGACCCCCAAAAGTAGATGAAATAATGGCCCAAAACCTATGAAAGGCTTCTATTCTACATCCTTTTTGGGGTCCAGGTAAAGGCACTCTTGTTGGTGCCTGGTCTCCCAAGAAGTGGCGTCGGAACTGCCCGGGCGCCACGGCGTGGGTCGGAAAGGGCACCTGAAGCCGGCTGCTAGATCAGAGAGAAATCAAGTGTCCTACAACACATCGATCGTTTCTGTGCGTATATATATATATATATATAATGTGAATAGTTACATGAATAAGTAAATATGCACATACATGTATACATGTATACATGTATACATATGTACATATATATATATATAAATAAATAAATAAATAAATATATATATATATATATGCTACCCCCAGGTTATCTACCCGTTTGGGGGGGAGTGAACCGAATGGTTCGTTTGGCGGGTCGCGGTGTGGAGCACGGCCATGCCTGCTCTCGCGCCCGCCCGTTCTACGTGGGGTTCTCCCACACGCAGCCTTGGGTCGATCCTTTCACGAGCCGCGGTGTGGATCACGGCCATGCCTGCTCTCGCACCCGCCCATTCCACGTGGGGTTCTCCCACACGCAGCCTTAGGTCGATTCTTTCACGGGCCCGAGCACGGCCATGCCTGCTCTCGCACCCGCCCGTTCTACGTGGGGTTCTCCCACACGCAGCCTTGGGTCTATCATTTCACGGGCCGCGGTTCGGAGCATGGCCAGGCCTGCTCTCGCACCCGCTCGTTCTACGCAGGGTCCTCCCCGCGCAGCAATGACCGGTAGATAAGATACAGCTGTAGGTGTCGCCCTTGCTGATTCGATGGATTATGGCATCCGGGCGTTCAGAGGGCAGACGGAGATACAAGGCAGAGTCTGCGAACACGAAGATAGTGCATCTTTTCAGAACTGCAAGTATGTCCTTCTTATGGGCGTCGGCAAAGAGAGGACCAAGGGGTTTGAGGAAGGCCTCGGGGTCGAGAGTAGTGTCCGCTGGTAGAACCCTTGTAGGTTCATCGCCTGTGTCGTTGGACGCAAGTGCCCTGAACTGATTGCGCGTCAGGCATCGTTGTAGCGGCCACTGACCGTGCCGTCCTCATCGGTCGTGACGAAAGACTTCAGGTCGGCCATGTCCAGACGTCGACCTGAAGGGTCGTCCAAGAAGAGTGCTTCCTGGATCTGTGGTGATCTCTGCGTAAAGTTATCCAGAGACTTCCCTCGTCTCCAGCCAGGCTTTGCTCCGTGTAGACCCAGGCGTCGGACGTGGTAGCGTCCAATGGCCATGGCCATGGTGATGATGGCCGGTGTCTTGCCGACTCCTGGATTCCCGACCATGATGATGGCCGCACTCAAGAGGAGGGGATACACCAACGGCAGAATGTACTCCGCGAAGGCGACGTTAAGGCTGGAAGTCGTCAGCGGGAACTCAGTCATGGGAACGGACCCGGAAACACCGCGAGACTTATTTTGGCACATGTTCCTGATTTTGATTTCTGGCCAACCTGCCAAGGGGGTACCGGAGTCGGGCTTGATGTTCGTCAGGATCCAATAGGTCTGCTGATTGAGAGCGTCGCAGTCTGGAGCGAAGGTGTTGATGTAGCGGATGCCCTCGGCAAGCTCGTCGTTCTCCGGCGACCACAGGTTGGAGGATGACTTGTGCAAGGTGTCCTGTCACTTGTCCTCTAGTTTGTGCCAATGCACATGATGTCCGCGTACCCTTGCCAATGCCCACTGCATAGCCTTCTTTACACCATGGGGCCCATTGCGGAACACCGGCACGAAGGGTTTCCCGCTGCACATTGACAAAGCTGCAGCCGAGGAAATCGACCTTTCGAGGTAGATGACTTTGAGCACATTCCAGCAGCCGTCGCTCATGTTCTGGATGATGATGTCTACTTTGCTTGTTTCCGGCGGGATGGCGGGAAATTGAAGGCTTCCGCAACATGTTTTCCAATGGTGCTGGCACTTCCACATTCCGAAATGCCTATGTGGGCATCGACAATGACGGATGCAGATTTGACGTCCTTCGTACACTATGGACGACAGACACCCGCCAAGAAGCCTGGGATCGATAACTGATCGGCCGAGTCCTTCGTGAAGACGTCGGGCTCGGTGAGCATTCTCACCTGGTAGTTGTGACCCCCGACCGACGCAATGCCTTCGTCCATGATTTTGCCTGCCATGGTTGAGTGTTGCCCTGGGAGACGAAGATGGGAAGCTTGTTTGCTTGATGGTCAGTAATGCTTCGTCGGCAATGACGGACGAATCGCTCTTGCAGCAACATGCAGACAAATCTGTGCATGACACATGCAGCTATCACAACATGTCAAATGTGCAACAGACAACGTCGCATTTTCCAACGCCGGCGGAAGACTATGACAGCTGACTTCTTGCCCATGGGGTAAATTTCATCCTCGCGCTCCAACTCGACCTTCGCCTTCGTAATCGTCTTGATAACACGATTGATGATCTGCTTTTTGCGCTCCGACTGTGCCTTGTTCGCGTGCTTGAAGATTGCCTGATTCCGGGGGTCAGGGACGCAGCACACATGTAGAGATCGCGGAAGTCGGGGTGTCAGTTGTCTGCATCCGCAGGAGATGGTGTGCTGCAGCCGTCGGGCGACTCACTGTCGGAATCTCCACTATAGAGCTGTCCGAGCTGGTTTCTGCATTCTTATTGGCCGCATCTGTGGCTTGGTTGGCATCATTCTCACTCACCTTTTCGACCTTGGCGTCGCCATCTGGGGGTGCGTCCATGTTGTCTTCAATGGCGGGGCCTCTTTGCCGACGGGCGCGTCCTTGATGGCGAGCATGGGCGAAGCCTTGCGTTTAGGTTTCATGAGGACCCGTAGTAGCCGGGCATTGGCCTCCACTGACCAATTGCCGTCCGAACCACATGCACCGAAGCCGAGGGCAACCTGCACATTGTACATCATATTCTGATGCTCCTTCTTTGACATGTTGTGCCGACTGGGGTGAGCGGAGATGATGTTGTTGTAGATGGCCTCCTCAACCTCTGTCTTCGAAGGTGGATGGTCTAGAGAAAAGACATGAGCAGATGTTGTAGGAGGTGTCGCGGAAGATGCCGATGCGGAAGATGACCGAGGATCCGACTTATCCACGCGGGCGAGTCGCAGTGTGGCAGTGCCGGAGGAATCCATGGACATGACCCCGCACACGCTCATCAGGGCCATGCTGGGAAAAGCAACGTGAAGAAGGGGCAATCACTACGCAAGTATATGGATGTGCACCAGATGCTAAGTCAGGAGATTGATTAAATGCAAGCGCGGACTGCACAACAGCAATGTTTGGTACAAGACTTGCAACGGCTTAAGGTTCTACCCGGCTCGCGCTTTGGTGCGGGACTGGGTGGCTTGAAATGGCTTGAAACCGGCTTGAGTTTCAAGCCGGCCCCTCCAAGATTGACAGACACACAGGACTCAGACACACAGGACTCAGAGCAGACACACAGGACTCAGAGCAGACACACAGGACTCAGAGCAGACACACAGGACTCAGAGACAGGACTCAGACACACAGGACTCAGAGCAGACACACAGGACTCAGACACACAGGACTCAGAGCAAAAAAGGGTAGATAACTTGGGGGAGGGGGGTACCATATATATATATATATATATATATATATATACATACATACATACATACACATGTAATGCATTCGACATCTTGTATACTTTCTGCGTTTGATCTATGGGGCTCAGTCCAGGTGTCGAAATGTTTTTCTTTTTCGGGATCCCTTCTTAGAATGTCAGTTGGCTGAACCTGGATGTGTGTACGTATGAGCCTGCAGCACTGCGTGTGGGGTGGATGAAACACATAGTCATTCTCATTGACTCTCCCTCACGGCTGCGTTGGTATCTTTGTTGGCACGAGAAGTACTAGGCACGAGTAGCAATCCTGTGGTTCGTAAATATGTACTTTACACTTGCATGCCGATAAGCACATAAGTAGTTTAAAACATGTATGTATGGTTGCACGTACACATTACGTGTTGTGCGTATACATGCATGCACTTATAAATACATAAATATACGCATATATACACATGTTGTATGCTTAAGATTAGTACTGGCAGTGAAAAGAAAAGATTGTTAAAACGGTGGTAATGATGCATGTTTATGTACGTATGTATGTATAGGCATTACTGTAGGGAGAGCGAAGGCACACATGTGTAGTAGGAAGGAAGGAAGGTAGGTGTGTAGGCAACTATGTATGCATGCATGCACGGCTGGACACACGCACAGTGATTAGCTGTTGTTGGTGGAAAACACTATGAACTGACTATGAACTTTCCAGGCCTCACTACTGGACCCCGCCGCATGCAGGTAGTCGGTTGGGTCCTGGGCGACTTTTGCATCTCAGGCTTCACTGAATGCGGCAATCGTACTCTTTATGATTCAGAGTGATACGCCTTTCCTTTCTCATAGGCCATAGGCTTCAACACAAACACACGCATGCAAATCAATGGCCCGCGATAGTTCACACCACATACGACCGAGACAGGTAGACAGGCATGTAACATAGACAGAGAGACAACTGGATGGCTCGTAGTAAGCATCACCTCAATCAGAACTAGTACGTGACAACCTGCAAGGAATACGGCAAGCCTGTAACTCAGGCTCCAGCCGAGGCGTTTGCCTTCAGGGCTCTGCGAGAGGGTGTGGCATATGCAGCTGGTCCCGTAGTTCCTGTGCAGCAAATCGCATGAACCTCAACCCTCGGTCACAGATCGAAACAATCCATGTCAATCCTTTCGAAAGAAGCCAATGCTAACGCATCCTGTCCGAAGCGGCATGCAGACACTGCATGCGCCAAATGACGAGCAGTGCGACGTGTCCACACTGCGGCGAAGGCGGAAACCAGCCCAACAACAACGCAGCAGCCAGATCCAAGTTTGCCATGGCTTAGTTGCTGAGTTCATAAGCGCCCAAACGTGTACTCTTTTATAGTGGGTTATTTAATCCCAAAGACTGTACCTAGACCCTCCATCTACCCTCTATTAGAGCCTAAATGCCCCTTATTTGGGACAATATACCCCTATTTGAGGGTACAAGGAGGGTCCTGGTAAAGTGTATCCACTCAGCTAGTACCTAGACCCCCAAAAGTAGGTAAAATAATGACCCAAAACCCTATAAAAGGCTGTTATTCTATATACTTTTGGGGTCCAGGCTCCTTACTAGGTAAGATGGGCCTGAGACCGTCAGGCGCCGATCGACGGAGCCCAAGGCGGAAGCCGCGGGCCTCCCCGGATCTGCGAAAAAAAAGGAAATGAGATGAGAGTTTCCGAAAATTAGGGGGGGTACCTTACTTTGGGGTCCTTCTAATAAGGATCCTACTATTTAGGGTACTATATAATTTACTATGTTAGGGCCCCCCCTAAATTCGGAAACTCCCATATGAAGCGACTCTTCTCCTCCATTCCCTACTAACCAGTAAGTCTTCTGGGCCTGTAGCCATGCTCCTGGAAGTACTTTGCCAGCGACCTGCCAGGCGACGCCAGGCGCTTCATCAGGAAGTTTCCGAAAATAGGGGACCCTAATATCGTACCCGAGATAGCAGGATCCTTACTATAAGTACCCCCAAATAAGGTACCCCTAATTTTCGGAAACTCTCAAATTACAAAATGGACCATGGCGCACATACTTGCACTTCATCTCTGCGGCAAGAGACTTACTTGTTTATGGACACCCCTCAAGCCTCCAGAAGCGTGTCGCTGCCTTTTCTCGCCGTGAGAGCGACGTCGGTGCGGCATCCTTTTCAGCACAAGCCTTGCCGCCTCACAGTGCCTCCTCCGAGTACTATATCTTTGTAGTGGATTTGCGAAGCAGGGATGTCCTGGTCGCTGGGCGACGCGTCCTCCTGCAGAAGCCGCAGGCGCAAGTCGTCCTGCAAGAAATTCCAAACCTCTAAGTGTGGACACTTGCGTGTGTTGACGTGCACCATGCTCCAACGCATCGGTTGTGCGAGATCCGGAGGTTCAAAGGGATTGGCGAGCAGACAGTTTGAGACGAAAGTAGCTTGATATCTCGCCACTCCACGTGCACGAGCAGAGAGAGAGAGAGAGAGAGAGAGAGACAGAGCAGCAGAAATAAATAAATGGGTAAACGCACATGTGCATGTTGTGCGCATCCATGTGCTTATGTCTCTATGTAGTAATCTTTCTATGCATGTAGGGACGCATCTATGTATGTACATGAGTGGTGACCCACACGTATACGTACATGCATACATATACGGCATGTAGGTTACCTGTAGGCCGATGCGGACGTAAAACCGGAATAATTACCCTTAACATATATCATCATGATTCGGGTGCCACTGTGTGCGCAGGGTTAAGGAGCCCTCAATCTCTGAACCTGACATGCCTTTGCACGTCCTAATTCGGGACTTGCACGAAAGGAGATACCCCGACATAGACACCACATAATAGGATTGACGTTTCGAGGATCCCTAAACGAGGTAATTAGCCCTGAGTTCATGAAGCCCCCAGCACTTGGGGCAAACTGCGACGGGGCAGCCTGTGGACGACCCTGCTCCATATCAGCGACTCCTGGGAGGCTCTTTGAAGTTCAAGGCGTCTTCGTGCCATATTATATTATACTATTTCATATTATATTATACTATAAGATGATATTATATTACAGTTATGACTCGTTTCTCTGCCTGCACCGTAGGCAACTACCACAGACTTGAAATCATCATCTGTTGGGCTCAGCAACAGGCCGGCAAAGTCGAAGTCGGGACGGAGCCAAACGTTGGTGAGACAAAACTGTGCCTGCCACGCAGCGCTTGCGAGTGACTTAACATGCAGTCAAATACATGATGCTTCCGCCACCTGGCACCAGAAATGGGTGCCGTCCTCTTACAGTGAACGCCAAAAACTTGGAAACCCCACGGCCTGGTTCCAGCACTCACAGAACGCAGCTCCAGCATTGATTTCCAACTTTTGGTCATTTCCATGTTTACTGTTTGAAGCAAAAAGTTGGAAACCAAGCCAACAGCAAAAAACAATAGAAGGGTTGTGCTCTCGTCCCTTGCACTTTGAACCTCGCTTGCACTTTGCACCTTGCACTGAACCCTTGCCCTCTTGCGCTTTGCAGCTCCGCTCCTTGCACTTTGCACCCCTTCCACATCCACCTGCACTTCGCTTTTTACACTTTGCACCCTTGCCTCTTGCACTTTGCACCCCTCCTTGCACTTTGCACTCTCGCATATGCCGAGCTGCAGCACATGCAGATGTGCAAAGCCCAACCCCATACAAGGCACTTTAACTAGAACTGTTCCGCAATGCACGCTTCTGAGACTGTGGTGCTGGTTCCACTGCTACGCTGCAATCGTAGACCATTGGGAACCAACCAAAAACCGGGCCTGTTTAAAAAGCTGCAATGTACCCGAAGTGGTGAGGCAATGCATGTCCTGCCTAGCACTGCTGCAAGATCACCATTCTGGTCAGCGTTTCTGCAGGCACTGTAGGCTTTGCTGCTTGTATCTGCGAATGTGAACACTGTCTCGGGATTGAAAAGATGCCTAAACTCTTAAAGGCATTTCGTATGCGCAGCCGTCCAATGCTCGCAAGGATTGCCCGGCAGCAACAGCATCAATGATGGTGACAATTTTGCTAGTTGGCATCAGATCACAATCTGACTGCTCCAGGTTGAATGTGATTTGGCTCAAGCTGACTTGAGCCGAAATTCGAGCCACAAGCATCCTGTTGACTATTGAGCACCAAAGCCCACCATAGTAGTACAGCAGCATGGTAACATGGTAGTATGGTCATGAATGGTAGTGCTCCAGAGTCCAGTGACTAGTCGAGTACCGGCCTCTTCAGTCCTCGAGCATCAAGGCGTTACAGAATCGTGCTCTTCAGTTGCTGGTGATTCCGGCTGCAAGCGCACACGCTCAAAACTTACGAACACCGTTATGCAGCACTTCGTATGGTGGGGCGATTTGCTCAAAGCACTCAACACCACCTTGTAGCTCGTCTCAGCAAACACGTCCATCAACAACTTAATCGTCGTCCCTGCCATGATACGACCGCTTCCACTGCCCACCACATCTGCCTAGATCTGTCAAACGACTCCTGCTTTTGAGCCCTCGCTGCCAGGAAGGTCAGCACCCAATTCCGGGACACTGGGCGCGTAGGATGTAGCACGTCATCAACCGATTCGAGACCCACTAGGCACAAAGGGGTATAAAGGGTCGTGTGTGCATCCGGCCGATCGGTCGGGCACACAAGCTGAGGGTTGGCTGCCATGAAGGCGCAGCTGAGAAAATTGATCAACGCGGATCCACATCCCAGCCGGCTGTCCAGGTGGGTGAGGAAGCTAGAATGGATCCGTACAACACGCCAACCGACATGTAATGATATGTATGTAAGCATGTCTGTAGGCATGCAGATGCATGGCTGCATGTAGTAATGAAAAGATGGCAGTGGTGTCCAAAAGTAACCAGAATTGTAAACAGACACTTTTCGAGTTGCTGTTGGGGGAATCCCGCCCGCGATTAATATTGTTGCAATGGGGCACGGGTACTCCTAATTATGCCTCACATGCTGAGCGTTGCATTTTGAACGAGAGAAAGAGAGAGAGAGAGAGAGAGAGAGAGAGAGAGAGAGAGAGAGAGAGCACATACAAGGAGGACACGCATTGTATGATCGTATCTGCACAAAGACTGACACAATTGACAGAATGTATTCAACTACATTCAACATGCATGCCCGGCATCGTGCGCATGTTCAGCATGCGTGAACGTGTGCCTGTAGAGAACTTCCTGTGTTGTGTCCCCAGTGTCCTGGGCCAGCCGGTCTAGGAAGTCGTGACAGCACTGAGAGCGAGCTACACTCACTACGGCTGCCGGACATTTTCGGGGTTACGGCCTCAGAACATGCTGTCACTAGACCAAATTGGCAATACAGTGACATGCTCCGCCCAGAATCATGTCAAGTGAAAGGCGGGGACATGACACGCCATGCTTGACTTCGAGCACAGATGTGTCAATGCTTGCTGCTGTTGCTATGTGCTAAGCTGCCGTAAAAGAAAGGACGACATGGAGCATTGGAAGCTGCTGTATGAGGCCAGGCTGGTTGACGAGTTGCCGTACCCTCTGCCGATGCATTATCTGCAGCGAAGTCACACCAATCATTTGCGGCAAATGCAGCGACATTTTTGGACAGCCTCCGCCGTGCTGGGAGGTGTAGACAACCCAACCAGAGGCCCTCCGAAAAAGAAAACACACATGTCTCCCATCTCTCCGCCAAGCCTGAAACTGCCACGCATGTCTGTTCCCAGATTCTCAAAACTTAAACCCAAACAGCTGAACAAATCGCCACTCAAAAGCCACTGTCCTTGTCACAGGCTTGCATGCCCAGCAGCATGTCATGTCCGAGAGAACGAGAGAGAGCAGTCGAGAGGGAGAGGTGCAGAAGAGAGCGAGAGAGAGAGAGAGAGAGAATAAAACTTGAAGTTTGCACCAGGCCTCCGACACAGCCAGGAAACTGTGGCCCACGAACTCCTTCGTCGCTACAAGAAATGCAGGCATCTCGGAAAAACACCAGCAGGGCAAAGCTCCATCGTTTGATTTTGGAAGTTCTTGCCGGTGGTGAACACGGGGTCGCTGGTGGAGCGCGTCTTCGTCTTGGCCACATCATACCTGGCGTGAACCCTGTGCAGCTCACGCAGGCAACGAGCATGTGCCCCGAAGTTTGCCGGACACGTGTCGGAATCAACTCAGGAAGCTACATTTTTCTGGCCTAAACATGTGAGCAGACCTGCCGGCACTCTAAACTGCTTGCACATGGCACCCTTGTTGTGCAGTCACCAGCTGTGCGGTGAAGATTGCCTGCCGACGACGAGGCCGCACAGAACTCCACAAAACACAGCATGGCGACATCTTCCACCTGTGGCGGCGCTGCCACATTGCTGGCGGGATACCCAGAGGGCTTGTCCTGCGACTGCCATCTGAATTTTGAATCATGTATGGAAATGGCATCTTCAACCGACGTCACTGACTCCATGGACCAGCTGATGCCGTATCCCAAAGAGATGCTCCTCTGCATGAACGCCTTCCTCGCCTCAGCGCCGTTCCCAACCACAGAAGTTTGGAAAATTCTGCCGCTTCCGAGGATGGTTTCGCAGGCTTATAGGGTTTAGTGTTGGACAATACTGGACATCCTCGTGACAAACAAGATCGATGAGCTTTCAAGCTCGGCTTCGGAGTAGCTTTCGCGACTGATGAGATTGAACTAGTGCATGTGGCAGCTCCCAGGATCTTCGGCTACTGTTGCTTCGAGCTGCGACCCATATACCATCATATACCGAAATCCCTGGAGCAACGCACCTCGGCGACTAACGCCTTTTGTCCGACACGTGACTTGCACGTCTGGTAGCGTGAAGTCAGTTCGTTCGCAGACAAGCCGCTGCACGCCGTCGGAGCGTCAGTCGGATAAAACAGGCACATGTCCATTGCGTAAGCTTTCTCGATTCTTTGACGTGTCTCCTTTGGAAAGTCGGAGCATTTGGAATGTGTTGTGCTGCGTGCGTGGGCGTGTCTAAACGGAGGCATCTCTGTAGGCTTCATGTACTCGCGCAATCTCTGGATGCTGTTCGTCCAGTTGTCTTGGCATAGCAGGAGATCCACGCCGAAAGTCTTGTTGGCAAAGAAAAGAAAATAGTGCTGGGGCAGAAAATGCAGAAAGCTCCAGAGCACATCACCTCAGATGAACATTGGCATTGCAGAAGGGCCACAAGCTGGGCTAAGAAGCGCTTCAAATCATCAGAACTGGCCCAAAGCGGTGTCACTTGCAGCTTTGGCGCCACCGAAGTCACTCGAAGCCACATAGGCGGTTAAATTCCTGTTGCCGATATTCCTGAGCTGCGACTTCTCACCGATCCTAACCCTGCAGCGTTGTATTGGACCCCACGGTCTCACAGTGCCTATATATAGTCTCCATTGTGGTTCCCTTTTTTGGTTTTAATTACCAATTATATATGTAGGATGCTATAAGGTAACCCCAATAAGGAACCAGCATGGAGACTATAGGCGCCCCTTCGCTCAGGCTCTTGTGGTGCCAGCGCAGCTCGGGCTCGGGGGCCGACGTGAGAGTGTAGGTAAACGCAGAGATGAACCGCTCGCAGGGATGTCGAACCATCGAAAAGCTGCGAAAGCCCGGCGCCAGGTTCCGCCTCGATCGTGACTGGAGACTTCATCCGGGGCTTGATTTTTCCGGTACAGGCATACCGATATCACTTGCAAGAGGTTAACAACAGGTTAAGGGCCCTCTCTATGCCATGTGGGAGTTGCGCGCACGTATCTCCGACTGCTGACTCGCGCTAGGACAAAACAACCACCCTCGAGACACATCCAATGCATCAGGCAGCAGTTTTTCAGCCGTGGTGTGACCGCCGATGGGATGATGCTTCTTAGCATCATAGAACAACTTCGACTGCTCGATTGTGCTCCCACCGGTCTTGGGCACATGGACGAAGATCAATTTGTATGTTCTGCTAATCTGGCCCACGTCGTTGTCGTACGCTGGATCCTTGACTGGCCGCTTCCATTTCGGTTTCTGGCCCTTTCTTTTCGGCTGGCCGGATGGAGTAGCTCGAAGATGCACGGATTTGACCGCGTCGGGCTTGTTGAGGTGGCTGGGTCTCAGCTTTTCCCAGAAAGTGGTGTGGGCGGAGTCGAATCGCCAATACTTGCCCGGTCTGGCAAACCTCAACACGGAGAGCCCAAGTGACAGAAGCGCGGCAAGGCTGCATGCGCATGCACAGGCAAGAGCGAAGACGTTCATCAACCTTGCAACAGCTTCATCAAACGTGCTCCGTTCATGTCTGAGTGTGGCGAGCTAGCTGTCGAATGCTTCAGGCCATATGATGGGCCTTGAGAGCCTTAAAGCTGCAGCGCTTTCACGGCATGGGGCTTTGCACTCGTTCCATGAGATGCCGGCGATTTGCTATGCCTACTGAGCAAACGATTGCGAGCACTCCTCGAGCACTCCATGTCACAGGCATTGTGTGGATCATTATCATTAATACTGCTACTATTTTTACGATTGTTATGAATATATAACGATTACCATTAGTATGGTAACTGTTATTATTATTATTATTATTATTATTAGTGTTATTATCAAAGCCATTATTATTGTTATTATCAAAGCCATGATTATTGTTATTATCAAAGCCATTACTGTTATGGGGGATCTTGCAACACAGTAGGTTCGAGTTGCCGGAATCACCGGCCCCCGGCTCGTGTGCCCTCTTCCCCCCTCTCAGTAGCTTGCCTTCGGTTAGTACAACTTACCTTTGGTAAAGGGATCTATAAGGGTTACTATAGGGGATCTATAATATAGGGGTCTTAAAAATCCTATAGCTTGCCTTCGGTTAATAGGGAATGGAGGAATCGGGGTACAATTATAACTACTATTACTACCATTCTTCCATTCCCTACTGGCCAAGGGTAAGGTAGCAGTCTTTGTAAAATTGTTCCGTCCTATCGCACCTGCGTGTGTCCTCTGTGCTGCAAGGGGCCACCCCTCAGCTGAAAGTAGACGGGAGGCGACTGCCGGAAGCCGCCACGAAGGAGGCTTGAATCTGCAGGGAGAGGTAGACAGCAGCAAAACAGCAGCAAAATCACGAAAGGTCCCTATTCAGGCCCCTACATTTTCGTACTGTACCCTTATAGAACTTATAGTAACCCTTTATGACCCCTGGAAAGGACCCCTCATACCACCACAGTCCGGCAAATTCCCCGCGCCTCGAGGGTCCCCTTGTTCATGCCCAGGCTTTCCTTTGCTGTCGGGGAGAGTGCAGCGGTGTCTAAAGCAGTCGTCTAAATGGGAGGTTCCGAAAATAGGGGACCCTGATACTAGTAGGATCCATATTATGAGGACCCGCCAAAATAAGGTACCCCTAATTTTTCGCCCACGCCCAAAACAGATTGCAGCACATTTCACATCAGATGCAACTATGCCCACGAGTCCCCCTAACTTGGGTCTTCGGGCTCTTCCAGGTGGCTCCAAGCGACTCATGTTAGTTGTCTTTTGGGCTGGACCTTCCTCTTCATGATCCCACCCATGCCACATCCAGTAGGTAGTAGTAGTAGTAGTAGTAGTAGTAGTAGTAGTAGTAGTAGTAGTAGTAGTAGTAGTAGTAGTAGTAGTAGTAGTAGTAGTAGTAGTAGTAGTAGTAGTCGTAGGTAGTAGTCGTAGTAGTAGTCGTAGTAGTAGTCGTAGTAGTAGTAGTAGTAGTAGTAGTAGTAGTAGTCGTAGTAGTAGTAGTAGTAGTAGTAGTAGTAGTAGTAGTGGTCGTAGTAGTAGTAGTAGTAGTAGTAGTAGAAGTCGTAGGAGTAGTCGTAGTAGTAGTCGTAGTAGTCGTCGTAGTAGTAGTAGTAGCAGCAGGAGTAGTAGTAGTAGTAGTAGTAGTAGTAGTAGTAGTAGTAGTCGTAGTAGTAGTCGTAGTAGTAGTCGTAGTAGTAGTCGCAGTAGTAGTAGTAGTAGTAGTAGTAGTAGTAGTAGTAGTAGTAGTAGTAGTAGTAGTAGGAGTAGCAGTAGCAGTAGCAGTAGCAGTAGCAGTAGCAGTAGGAGTAGTAGTAGGAGTAGTAGCAGTAGTAGCAGTAGTAGTAGTAGTAGTAGTAGTAGTAGTAGTAGTAGACACAGGAGTAGCAGAAGCAATAGTAGTGTTGCTGAGACCAAGTTTCGACCAAGGTCTGCGTGCAGGTGCCCAGCTCGTGAATTGCCAGCTTCACAGACCCCAGGTCTTGACCTCATGAAAGAACCCAGGAATCCAGTGCATGTTGGCCTTTAGCATTCCTGCTGAGGTGCCCATCAAGCTGTCCTCATCGCAGACTTGCCTCAACTTCGTCAAAAACACCGACCGTCTGAACACGTAGGCATACCAACAGGCATACCACTGTATATACTAAATCCCCACGAGCAACTGCACATGGCATGAAGAACCAGAAGTGTCCCGGAGGGACTGCTTGCCCTGTTCACAAAGAAGCTAGAGAAGCTGATGGGAGAATGTCTTGCTGGGCTGCTGAGCACATGCACGCGCCGTCAAACTCTCAACCTTCACATACAAAATCGAAAGGTCTCGACGGCTCCTTCGGAACTTCCAACAAGCCCTCGCAGCCGGGAGTCAACTTGCAGTAGTAGTCGCTGGGCCCCACAGTGAACAGGAAGTCCTGAGTGCCAGAAAAGGGATGTTCAGTACACAGGTCGGCATGTAGTGATCAGTGTCTTGCGTGGTGAGGATGTGCTCAGCCATGCCATCTAGGCTCGACATGCCTGGATACCTACTGATTGCACTCGCAAGAGGAGCCGTTGCCAGGCGACTGGTCGCTAAAACTTCAGTGTCCCGGCACGCGCAGAGCAAGTAAGTAGCTTGTTCTTGGTTGCTACACATCGAAAAAGAAGCGAGCACTCCAGCTTTGATCAGGCCGCTTCCATGCCAGTATGAGGCGTCGAGTGGGTGCACTCCGTCACCATGTACGGAAACTAATCGTCTTGAAATGTGTGGTGCAGACAAAAAGAACCCAATCGTCCTCGGAGTTCCATTCCGGGCTGCTTCGATCTCGCTCATCAGCACCTGCTTACAGCAGCCCTATGCCACACATGCGATTCAGTTGCCTAGCAGACTTTCGGATCCAAAAGCCGACGCCGTGTGGGGCTTATCAACTCGAAGCCCGACGCAGCCTTCCAATAGAGAACTGCTCCACTCTGTTTATTGACAGTTGGGGCTGCTGATCATGGCAGCGCATCAGACGAAGCTGAGCCAATGCCAGCCTTCTTCTGTAGCCAGTACAGCTGCAAAATCCACTCATAAAACAAATCCACTGATGATGCAAAGAAGACTTGGAGGTGCAGAGGCAGTATAGGCGGGATTGTAAGTCCTCTGATTAATATGGGTTATAATTACAGTTACGCCAGCATGCAAGAAGGCACAGTCCGACTCTGTCTGGAAGGTTTGCGAGCCCACGGTCAAGGTGACGTAGGGGTCCAGCCAGGACAACATATCCTGGACGAGACAATGCCGGAGGTGCAGAAAACGTTGGAGCCTAGGGCCTAAACCCGTCCTAAACCCGGCCTTGCTACAAGGACTCCTGACAGGGGCCCCTTATGAGTACGCTACCTACTTTCCTGGACACCATCATATTTATTGTCACGGCCAAAGCCGTACAGTAGTCTCCCAAACGGGAACGTCATCGGAGCAAATCGTAACCAACTTAGGGGTTCGGGGCTTCTGCTACGAGCATCATTCGAGGGTAAGAGCTTAGTTACAGTAGGCGCACAGCGTCCTGGTTCTTCAAGCCATGAGCTTTGAGGACCTTCACCTGTCGCAGTCAGTGAGTACCAGTAGCAGGTGCATATACTTGGTGTTGTGGAACATTGCCTTCAGCGTCCCTGCCACGGCAATGCTCGGGCTGACAAAGGCGTAGTTGTTCAGGTTGGTCCAATCGTAGTGGCGGCTGGCCCAGCCAGAACCCGTCTCCTTGGAGAGGACCGCACTTCTCAGCAGTTTCTGTTTGCGCATGTGTCTGCTTGATTTACAAGCAGGACGTCTGCTCGCATGCATGCAGTGGCTGCACTCCTATGCCGCGGACATGGGTGATGGAAGCAAGGCAAGATTGGGAACCCGATGTAAGGCGGCATCGGAGACATCCAAGGACGACAGGAAACCACGGGTCAGCGCCACCTTGAATGTTCAGCAGGTTCTCGGCTATTTGCTTAGCAGCTTTAGCAAGAACATGCTGCGTGGGTATGAATGCACAACTTGTGCGTCTGTATTTCAATAGTCCTTCACTCCATATTTGGGCTCAGGGAAAGTGCTGCGTCTGACGTCTGCGGGCTATCTAAGTTCGCATTCGTTCAGGCGGGTGCGACGGATACTAATCTCTCAAAGCTGTCTGCATCAGGGACGCTGCTAAAGCCTGATGCGGCCGCGTCTGCTTGTTGGCAATGGCTGAGGTTGTCAGCTGGCGAATGCGTCGTTCCCCTTGCCCTTGGCCAGTCACAGCCAGAGCAAAATGTGCTACACGGAGTCAGCAGCATGTCTCCGATTAATCGTGAGCAGTCAAGAAAAGGTCAACGTGGTTCAACGTGTAGAAACTGACAGCTTGGAAGTCTTTGGTGGCTGACATGGATGTGCACAGATTGGAAGAGACAGAACCACATGTATACTGGGCCATGGAATCCCAGCATCCTTCTTCCACGTCGTGAAGAATCAGATCCGTCCAACCACCTGCAACAATCAAGACTAGGATGAAAGGCATGCGCATAATGATTGCACCAAAGATGCTGCTAAGTTTTACTCATTTCGCTCTCGCCTAGAACACTTCTTGTCTTCCAGGGCATAGTGACGATAGCAGAGGTGTGTGCGTCGTTGTCAGTGCCCTTTCAGAGACATCACCACATTGGTCCTGCATTATCCGGCACGATGCCTTCATGCACATCGCCAGCGACGATCAACACCTGCGCTCTGCTCAAAACCCGAGCACGGCAGGCTTTGTTGTTGGTCAGCAGGTATCAGTTGGGTCGAAGCTGGCGATCGACTGCCTCTCGTTTGCATGGTGGCGAGCTTTCTTTGTCTCGCCAGGCCTCATCGCATGCAGCTCAGGTGGACACGAAAGCAGTGCCAGAAAACAAGGCTTGAATGCCAGCCTTCAGCATCTTCAGGAAGCGGGGTACCTCCGCCCTGTGAGCTTCCGCTGACCACTGGCCTCACAGCGTGTCTCGACCCATGCAGTGTCTCGGCCAATGCGACATGTTCGTGGCCCAGGCCCAGCAAGTCGTCGCAAACCGTGTTGCCCATGATCTGGGTGAATGCCTCACTCGTAAACTGGTGCAGAAACAGTGGGGAGCAAAGCTTCTATACTTCTATACTGTCTGCAACAAGTCAAGGCAACGTCGGTCCTCTAGAAGCCATATCACATGACGCGCATGACATCGTGTCGAGCGCGAAAGCATTCATCTAGACGACGGAGACCCAACCACTATCTTGACACTAGTTGTGCCATGCTGGACATGCCCAAGAAGACTCGCGGATGAAGAAGCTACTGCTACTGCTACTTCCCCGCCTACTACTCCTCCTCCTCCTCCTCCTACTACTACTACTACTACTACTCCTACTACTGCTACTTCTACTCCTACCACCATCTGTACTAGTAGTGATCATAGTTAATAGAACTTCATGATCAGCTTCTCCTTCATAGCAAGGAGAACATCATTGTGGAACACAACAAGCACTGACAATGCATGGGAATACAACTCCCAATCCAGGCTCTCTGCAGTCCAAGGCACTCGGCTTACGTAGCCGAGAGGCTCCGGAACTAGTGCCAGGAGCCTTGGGCGAGCTCCGAGCGATGCGAAGTTGAAGCAGTACGCGAGAACATGTCTTAGAGCTGAGAGTTTAGTCTGGGGTTTGGGGTTTAGAGGGTTTGGGGGTTGCGGAGTTCAGTGTTTAGGACAGATAGTTTCGCTCTCTTCAGTGGCTGTGAGTTGGTTCCAGGAGTTGCAAGGACAGTCTGCCGTGCAGGGCCTCACCGACAACCACTGAAAACAAGTGCACGTGCCACAAATCCCCTCAGACCATCTCAAACTCAGGTCGGAGGGCACAGCTCAGCAGCAGACTGTCAGCTCTGTCTCGCGAGGCACTCTTAGCTGGATGGCTTTGGGTCTATTGTTTAGGGTCGCAAGACGTCAACCTATCCACCGAGCTCAGACGATGCGTTTGAGCTCCAGACGCCTTGCAGGCCGCCAGTGTACCGCCTGCGCTGGATACCCGGTAACGGTATAAAAGAGTAGACAACCTCTGCGCAGTTTCTGCACCGCCTTTTAGAGGTTTTCAGGCTGTGGGAAGAAGCACGGTCATAGTAAGCATCAAACTACGGTATCTTCGTGATGGCGATCATCCAGGTGATGAGGACGACGAGAATGAAAATAATGACTGCCATGACGATGGTGATGATGTTGATGATGCGGCGACGACGGTGCTGCTCGGGGCAATGGTTGATGACGATGACGATAATGATATGATGGTGGTTAGCTATGATGCCTGATGATAATGATTCCGAATCTATTCTGTGGTGTCCGTTTTCAAGGATCCGCTGTGGTGATTGTCGCCGTCATTCGTAAGATGGTCGTGGTTGTTCTTTCTTGTACTCCTGCTGTCTACCGGCTTTGCCATCACTATTCCCACACTGATTCTCAAGATGGCTGTTGCTCTACCGTCGTTGTCTCGGTCTGAGTTCACGAGTCAAAGCCCCCCTGGCCTGGCGCCAAAGCTTCTTCGATGGCTGCCCACTGGGCTTGGCCCAGCATAGGTGCGCAAACGTCCTTGTGACCAAGGCCAGGTTTAGCGAGTTGCCCCACACAAAGTAGGTCATACCGTACGTAGATACCACAGTCAGTACACATGCATGCAACGGGACATACGGGAACTAATTACAAGTAGAACAGCTTATTTGCACATGCATCTCTGCGTGTGCTGTATGTGTGTACGTATGTAGGTATGTAGGTAGGTGGGTAGGTAGGCCGGTAGGTATGCATGTATGTACACATGCATAGCACGTGTATGGATGTGTACGCATGTCCGTATGCACGTGTATATATATATATAACATGTAATTATATAGTTAGATCGATATACAGATAGATAGGTAGGTGGATAGCTAGATAGACGGATAGATAGTTGTAGAAGCAGATGCATACTTAGCATCAAATAACACGCACACACACAAAATTCAAAAAAACAAAACACGTTCACTTTCCAGACGAAACTGCTTTGGGCTGCTAATACTACTACCACTACCACTACCACTGGCACTAGCACTAGCACTGCCACTAGTACTACTACCACTACTACTACTACTACTACTACTACTACTACCACCACCACCACCACCACCACCACTACTACTACCACCACCACTACTACTTGCTACTGCTACTGCTAATTCTACTACTACGACTACTACTCCTGCTGCTGCTACTACCCAGAATATCTTGGGAGGGCGCCTCGCCCGTGATGTGGTAGACATGCATTGTCGTCACACTAATCAGCATTTGACAATACGTGAAACGCTCGGACACTGGCGTTTATCCAAGGCAGTGCACAGTGCACATATCTGCATTTGCCCAACGACATTGCACAAGCTTTGCACTGGTAACCCCAGAGCTGGAACATGTTGGTACAAGCGCAAGGTATTGTATGCTCCACGACACGAACTGCAGAAATTGAATTTCTCCACTTTCCTGCTGATTCCTCCGCTGCCTTTCCTTTGAGGCTGTCTTGCTGTTCGCAGAACATTCGACAACAAACCACAACTTCCGATGTAACCGAAGCCTTTGCAAAGAACTGCTCGGTACCGTACTTGCTCAGACTTGGCAAACCCAGGCCTCCGCCTCTTTCCAGTGGAAAGTTTTGCAGGCACGGACGTCCACGAAAAGCAAGCCCACATCTCCGAATACGTGCCTTCGCAAGCACGGTCAAGTCGGGTCTTGCTCGGCTTTCCATCGAAAAAGACAACGGAATCCCAGCAAAATCTGATTTCATGAAGACCAGCTGCATGTGATAATCGAATTCTGGTTTGCGGCTCGTTCCGTCTGGCAGCTGCACAGGATCCTCGTACAGAAGGCGCTGGTAGGAGTTGAAGACGCGGTAGGCGATTTCACCCAAAAACCTGCTGCATGTGCAACTCCAGGAGCTCTATAGTTTATGCTGGCATCAAGGCCTTCGAAACCACTTTAGTACAATAGACTATTCGGGCTTGATGCGCGAGCTTCGGAACACCGATGATCCACAATGCTCTTTCCAGAAACGGCCTGTCAACGGACTCGCTTTGCTTGTCCTCGGGCCGGTCTCCCCAATCATCACCTAGCATGCCACGAACTCCCTTGAAAGTGTTTTCGCAATTCCGAGCGGCTGTTAAACGATCCTTCCGGAAGATCATGCCATGCTCCAACATCTAGACTCTAGACACAACAGTTACCAAGAGCGAAGTCGCGTACAAGTGTGGGACTGCTGGCTATCTGTCTGCCCGCCTTTATGTCACCTTGTACGTGTAATATTGCATCTGTATATGCAGTATCAGTATGAATGCGCACCTGGCTGCGATGTGCAGAGGCTTATCTTACATGTATGTGTCTGCGTGTATGCAAGTATGTATTCACGTATGATCCATGGATGCAAGAAGGCAAGCAAAGACACACTCCGATACCCACACAACCATCCATCCCTCCGTCCAAACACACTTGACAGCCTCCGCATCTCTCTCTCGCTCTGTGCCGTGCATCTTTGTGTGCTGCGCCCAATGATTTCGGATCCTGCTGCGTTCGTGTGTGTGTTGAAGGGCTGTTGTGGCACACGGCGCTAAAGTGCATAGATATAGATTTTTTTACATGTCTTCTTGCACACGTACATGCTTCACATGCTGTGGTTTATCATTACGTCATGTCAAGATGCACAGCATTACGCTTGCCCCTGTCCCTGTTTGCGTTTGATGCACACTGCACTCGCTTTAAACCCCCAGGGCATGTAAATACGAACGTATGTGTGTGTGTATGTATACATTGAGTACATATACATATGTGGATACATAGTGTCTGTGTAGTTTGGCTCATGCATGGGTAGCAAGATCCACCGTACACAGTTTATGGAAAGTTTGCAACGTTATGCTGCGCACTGACATATACTCACATGCATACGGCTGCAGATGTGGGTGCTCCCAGCCGTGCGTCTATGAGCACTTCAAACACAAGTACATGTACAGTCACACATGCGAGACATTCGCACATACACAAGCTTCATTTCCACGCATGACAGCATAACATGACATCGCGAAGAATCTCACCAGCTTGGATTATGCTATGTTTCTTTACTATAGACTGCACACTAGTACACCATCATCTTGTGAAGTGTTACATGTTAGTAATCCCAATATCTCATACCATGGCTCATCCTATTCTTGTTGCTATATACTCAAAGCCGTACTATACCTTTTTTCGAAGTTATAGTCTAAAAATGGTATATCACAACATATTACAATAATATGAATGTTAAATGTACATGTGTGCGTGCATATGCTACAGGACCTATAGCATGTTATACGGTAATATTGTTAAATTTGTTGTATATAATAAATTGCATGGAGCTGTATTGTGTTACACTAGTATGTTGTACGATCTTAATTCTCGTTGGCGTTATGGTCTCTTACTGGATCTTTCTTTATTACATTCAACAATATTATCTTGTCTTACAGTGTGCTATACTATGTTGTACTATGGTGTATTACGCTGTGCTGTATTATGTTTGCAATACGTACTCTTTAATGTCCCATCCTATTATGCTGTGTTATGTTGCACTATGATATCTACGTACTGTATGAGGTATTTCACAAGACTGTGTCATAGCATACTGCATCGCATTGTAGCATGCCAGATCATGTCATATCAAATCATATCACATGTATGATCGTCTATTGCATTATATTGGGTTGTACTATAGTATGTTTCCTATATGACATTGCTTTTCACGACACTATACCATCATGTTCTGCTATGTTGACCTTTACTGTTCATTTTCTTAGCGTTACCATGTTATGCTGTATCGTTGTATGTCGTATGGCACCACACTATAAGATACTGTTAGATTTTGTTACGACATATATTTGGAGCAGTGTCTAGTTTCGTTTTGTCTTGTACTTATGGGAACGTGACGGATTGTAAGAACCTGTACTCATCTGCCATTTTAGTATACGGGTATCATATTGCGTTAGCCAAGTCTGCTCTATGACGTGAACTCGAACATGTTCATGTGTAGTTAAATACATATAGCAATGAATACATATGTTTCAATACTATATGTGTATATAATTATATTTCAGGCACATGTATAAACACCAGACATACGCACACACATGTTCACAGTATGCAGCTGTCGCCGTTGCAGCACTGAGTCAAGAAGGCTAAGTCGTGCTTTGCAAGCCCATGCTCATTGAAAACAGATCTGAATTGTTTCAGGCCACGGATATCGTGATCATCAAGAATCATCAGGTTCGGCACGTTGGCCAAAACCCACCGCGTGGGGGGATGACCTGGTCAAGAGTCTCTTTGAGCGGCAGAAGACGGTGTCATTCTCAACTGAATCGCGACGTTTTCAAACTGCGGTGCAGTGGGATAGTGAAGATTCTCATAAATGAAATCACCTACAGCCATGGCGACTCGTTCAAGTATCCAGGGGCAGGTCGGGCAATAGCATCGGCATTCTCTGAAGCTCACCGTCGCAGTGCCGTGTGGCCACCGAGTCCGCGACCCCAAGTCTCGCGGTAAACGTTCCGGAAGTGCTCCTCCAGGGCAACAATAATCAATTGCAAGGCCTGCCCCAGAACATGTCCGCACAGGGGCCGAAGCTCCTCGATCTCCTGTTCGTGCTGGCTCCACTTTGACGTGTCGTTCAGCTTCAGGAGCCAGTCCCGAGCAACTCCCCACTTGCAGTCGTCCTCAGTTTCCTCACCAGGATCGAACTGTCAGATTGGCCATGCAATCATGCAAGAAGCAACTAGCTGGCTCTGCTCTTTCACTTGGCTTTGCTAGCGGCATCCCTTGATCATTTCGATAACACGCCAGTCTTTTTAAGAGTCCCGTACTGATCCATGAACCTGCTTTCTACGCAATAGCGGTGCCTCAAGTTCCATGCTACCCGACTCGATGAGATGCCAGTCGCTGTCCATGTATACATTGTCACCTGCACGATGAAATCATGCGCAACATCGCACAGTTGCTACACCGCCCTACGGACAGACACACACTTGAACCAGCGATATGCCAGAGATGTCGCGCTGGCTCCGGCTTCGGGCAGTCTGCAGCTTGTCCACAACTCTGCAACTCGGGCACCTAGTGGCCCCGTCCCTTCCCTTCGGTTAGTACGGTTAGTAGGGAATGGAAGAATGGTAGTAATAGTACTTATACTTGCACCCCATTCCTCCATTCCCTACTAACAAGGGTAAGTAATGCGCCTAGATGAAGCATGTAGTCCACGGGGACGCCCGATTCGAGCCGCTCCTTCAGGTCTGCCCAGAGGTCTTGTCCCGAGGCACCTGCAGCGGTGCTGACTCCCCGGGCTCCCCAAAACATTTGCAACCCTCAACCCCTAAACCCCTAAACCCTAAACCCGGCTTCAGGACAAGAACAGGATGGAAGAGGAATCTCGGAGTTTAAAGCGACTCGAAGTCCAGCGAAGCAGGGCCTCGCTTTCTGGTCTCGTAGACACAGTTGCAGCTGGCGACAGCGAAGCAAGGTGAACGACCTCCTCCGGCCTCTCCCAACCTCGTGTCTGGCAAGTGTGTTGGGAACGATGGGGAAGGTCTCAGGCTCGCCAGTGCTGCTTCCTCCTCTCCGGAAAGCCTCCAAAGTCGAGTAGAAAGCCCGAAGCTCCCGGAAGAAAGGCCTGAAACCACCAGCCGGCAGCGTGCGGAAGCTGCATCGGTCGACCAGGAGTTTGGCGCCGAGCACCTCCACGGTGTAGAGCGTCGATGGGGCCTTCGCTTCCCCATGTGAAGCGACCCGACTTTAGGGCTGTAGGGGTCCCGAACGAGGGTCTGTAGAACTTGTTCAGTGGGACGGCCTAGGTCAATGCATACTCAACAGACACGCACGCGCGCATTCTCTCTCTCTCTCTCTCCTCTTTCTTTCTGCCGGGCTTAGGGGTCACTGTCGTGACCGGCAGGCTTTCAGCCCGCCCGTCCCTCACACTGTGCTAGTGAGCGGACGGCTTCTGGGGTACTCCAGATTGAGGCACTGTACGACTTAGTGTGCCCCGTGTTTACAAGCAGCAAAGCCCCCCCGAACACTAAACACCAACACAACCCCCGCCTCATCTTCGCGCCCCTATGGAAAAACAGTCCTTAGCCTATAGCTGGTTCAGGGGGGCCTGAAAAAGATTGCCGGTTGAATTGTCGCTCCCCCCGCCTGCCTCTCTTTGCTTTGCTCGGGGTTTAGGGCAGGAGCAGTCCTCCCGCCCCGCGCGAGCGCGCTACCCCATCCACTATTTAGAGTGGAAGGGCTCAGCTGTACAGAAAGGTGTGTGCCCTGCTGTTCAGGGGCAGTGAGTGGGTCCCTCGTTTCAACCAGCTCAGTCAGTAAAATGCAACACCACTAGGTTCCCACTACACTTTCTGCGACTCGGGGCTCCCGTTTCTCGTTGTGCAACAAAAGGAGTGTACGACCCTGCCTAAAGTACAACCCAGTGTGCACCAACACTGTGAGCAGCTAAAGCGTTCCGCGGGTGCCCCTTGTTTCGTGTGTGCCCTGCCTTCAGCCTGTATCCCCACCTTGTTCCCTGCCTCAACCCGAACTGAAGCCTGACCCCAGCACAGCACTGCCTTCGACCTGCCACTCGACCCTTAAACCTCACTTGGGCTGGTACCCCTCTCTCCGCTTTGTCACCAACACAGAGTAGAAAAGTTGTTGCGGAAAGGTGGGCTAGGCTTTGTGACACTGGCTGGTACCTCTAGGTTGCCAGAGGAACGCCAGGGGTTGGTGTACTTGAGAAGGCCCTAAAGTAACAACGAGTGACTCTAAGTCCCCTGGTGCTCTCGTAGCCCCCTTGGTGCCACGCGTTGTATACCGTGTTAACCCGTCCTTACCTGCCTGACCCTACCTGAAACCGAACAGGAAACCTGACCCCCTCACTGCACTGCCTCCGACCTTCCGCTCGACCCTTTAACCTCTACGCCTGCCTCTCTCTCTCTCTCTGTCCCTTCTTTCTTTCGCCAGGCATGGCTGGGGGCTGGGGGTTGCTCCCCCGCACCCGCGCATGTGCGCCCCCACCTGTTGTGGGTCTCTCCCTCTCTCTCTCTGTCGTTCTATCGCTGTCTTGTGGCATTCAGAGGCATCGCGTATACAGCTGGCGTCGTCGCACTGAAGTAACTATGGAAAAGTCAAGCTGCCAAGCCGTCCATCTTCAAGACCTCACTCACTCGCGTATGGGATGCTGGTACATCGTTCTACACACCTAGACGTTCTCAACATCGTACGCAAGGTTGCTACTAGCTCCTGGCCAGCTATGCTGCAACGACTCAAGCAAGGCCTGCAAGATGACTGGATTCGCTGCCCTGTCGACCCCACACACGGCCTCACCTAAGAATTAAGACGTCAGCAAGTATCTGCAGACAAGTTTGCTGTGGGTCGGCGTTCTTTCAGCGCGGTCTTCGTGCTGACAGATGGGCCTCCCACAGGACACGAAGGGGCTGTCGGCTCACACAAAGGAAAGCGTGCGACCCTGAGCCCCATGCCCGCAAAGCAAGGCTTGACTTGGCCTGATGTTATACTATATGACCTGTGTATATAACCTGCTTGTCAAAACTTCTTGTTCATGGCTAGACCATGGATGATTTGGCGGGTCCTATCGCTTTACAAGGATTCCGTCACATGTTTCTGTGAGGTATCGCTTTGCTCTTGTGAAAGTAAGAAGACCATCAGACTCAATGATCCTACTGCCTTTGACCGCCCTTCACCTGCCTTTTACTGCCCTTTACCGCTCTCCACTGCCTTTTACTGCCCTTTACTGCATGGGGCAGTGGCTCATACAGCGATCTAGTAGGTATCGATTGGGTATCGGTCAGGGTATCGATTGCCCAGCCATATATCACACGGAAAACTTAGCCACGAATGCCGTGGCTGCACAGAAATATCCCAACAGATGACCCACGTTCATCGTATGGCTTTCCAAGGTACTTGGCAAAATCCGACATTCCAATGTCACGCTACTCTTGGATGTTCATATACATACATATATATATATATATATGTGTATATATATATATATATATATATTTATTTATTTATTTATAGATAGAAAGATATAGATATAGGTCTAGATATTGATATTGAAATTTTAAGCCCGGCCGCTGCTCGAGCCCGCTGCCGTGCAAGTACAACCTGAGCAAGCGCAGCTTGACAGGTCGGTGGGGATTTTCGTCCTGCGAAAGCTCACGATCACCTTTTGGCCACATACGGTCATCTGTTTCAAAACCGTGTCAGTTCCCTCGTTTTGAGATTTTACTTGTACATGCACAGGAACGTCGGACGGGCTGCTTGGAGGGGGGCTGAAAGAGCTCTCTTAGTGCATATGGCCGATGCAAAGGCCTGTAGCCCTACTTACATAACGACTCATCTTGTGAACCTAACTACGAGCTCACATAATGACATGCAGCTAGTTACAAAGCACCACCGAAGCACTCATGAACGGTCTCGCGCCGGGCAGCTGAACTCCTCGATGTCGTGGCTCGCCTCGACGAGGATTCGAGCCGAGGACCTGCCAAAGGCTCTGCATGGAGGCTGCCGCCCTCGAAGACCACCACCGAAGCTAAGGCGCTAGAAGAGCCTGTCTGTGTATTGACTTCCGTGCATAACTGGATCAGATCACTCCCTCAGCGCCTCGATGCGACACGTTTCGAGGAAGCTTCATGAGACGCTACTCTAGCCAATAAGCCAAGCTGCTCAGTCACCTTCCCAATCACGGGCCCAAGAACGATACGAGGCTTGCCAGGAGGAGGCCCCCGAAGGAGATGCCGAACTGTCTCCCTCGACTATGTGGGGTTCGGATACAAAAAAAGATCTTTCAAAGGTCGCTCAGCAAATTACAGGATGATTGAGGACTTGCTGCTAAGCTCTCCTTCTGTCGCTGTCGTTCCGTCCAAACTTTCCGTTTACTGGAGCTCCAGATGAGCAAGGATCGCGCAAGGTGCCAAGGCTCTGTGCCACGAAGCTACGCTTTGGCTCTCGATCGGAGCACAAGAATGCTGTGAGCGAATTGCTTCGATACAAATCCCCGGGAGCTGGTTTCTGGCTCAGCGGACCTGAGTCCTAAGAGCTTGGAGCTTGCGAGTCTTCGGAGCTTTGGGATCCGGGGTCGTCTTGCAGCTGAGGAGCTTGAACTTCGGTGCGCCAACCCCATCTTTCGCCTTGCTTTGACATGACTGTGTACGTGCAAGATGCACGCCATAACAGTCAGCCACACCTGCATATTCGAGCACGCATCAGCGATGACTATCGTCTTATCTTCTGTGCAGCAACATATGCCCCAGTCCCAACAGGTGTGTATGCATGTGTGTATATATATATATATGTATAGTTGCATGTAGTTATGCAGATATCAGATATCATATGGAATGACCCTTTTTAGAGAACTCTTTGCAGAAACCCGTGTGCAGGTGGCAACTCCAGATCACTCCGGGCACCAGAATCATCCATCATTGCCAGGGGCCGACCGTTGGCTTTGCTTCGTGATGCGGGGCTTCAGGGGGGATCAGAGCTTTGAAGCCAAGCATCGCACAGCTTTTGGAGCGACTCCGACCTGAACATGCATGCGGGGTACGTACTCCTCTTCTGCTGATGTCACATCTCTTTGCTTGCACAATATCAAATCTAAACTATGCGGTTGTTCCCATGGTCAAGGGTATCGGTATCTTGGTGCTTTCGACCAGGCGGGGCATTCAGTGAACGTGAACTTTGATACATCTGCATAACTTCTGGAGTCTAAACCGTGCCTCCAACAACAGTTGTGAGTGAAGAGTGCAAGGCCTCTCTGTGGACCAAGTCGTCTGCAAGTGCTCTTGCCTGAATATAACCCTTGCTTATGTTCGTCCGCATACAGCAGCTTTCACTAGCCGTACTACACTATGAAATGCTATGCTGTGCTGTGCTATGCTATATTATGCTTGGGTCTGGTATGTGGCTACACTTTACAGTGGCAGTTTCTGCTACATCAAGCAGCAATCGCACTAATCATCTGCTTTCAAGATGCCACCGCCGCTGTTGCTCCGGCTGCTCGGGCTCCGGCTGCTCGGGTTGCTCGAGCTCCTCCTCTTCAGTCCTCAGCGACATTTTGCATTACGAGTATCTACACGTAGATGAAACCACAGTTATGGTATTTCATATCACGAGCTTTTAGGGGTACCTGCCATTAAGGGTACCTGCCGCTGGGATTCCTAGATTGTAGTGACCTGGAAGCAATCCAAGATGGTGCTGCAACCTTGAGTAGCTGCTGCTCTTGCCTTCGCTCCTTCATCTTGGAAGATTGCAAGGTGCCTGCTTGAGCCGAGCGACTCTGCAGGCGCAGGCACAACCGGCAGCTTTTTGATCTCTTCCTCAGGGATTCCCAGCTCATCGCCGAGCCGCCTGAGCACCTCTGATACCAGCGGTGCACGTCCATCTATGAAGGCTGTCGTTGTTGGTTGAGCTGGCAAGGGCCCATACATCCGTGCTTACGCATGCACATACACACGGTTGATTGTGGGGCTGCTGAAAGGCTGATCGCTTACGAGCACATGCAGTTGGGACAGCAAAGACTGAGCCAACCGGTCACAGAAATACTCGCCTTGCATGTCACACAGGTTACTCAACCAACTGCAACTTCCCTCTGCCGAGATGCTGTCAAAATCTCTTCGCTGCTGACATCCCCACTGAAATCTGCGTCGGCATAATTGTACAGTCTACGGCTCAGCACATCGCATTCCTCGGGTCAGCCAGCCGTCAAGAGCTCAGAGGAACCATGGCATATGAGGTGTATAAGGTACTCACACAGCAACAGTGTGAGCGGCGCAACTGTCTCACCAACCCACCCACCCACCCACCCACCCACCCACACAGATATAGATATACATATATACATATATATATATACATATATGTATACAATATAAACATAGAACCAGGTATATACACACGCATACACACGGGATAGCAGGTGTCATAATACTCGCGCTTGACTGCAGCGAGAAGAAGCCAAGGCTCAGGATCGGGCCAGGACGGAGAGACGCCTGGCCGAAGGGCCCACACTCGAGACTAGGTCCCTAGGAGACTCAGATTGGGAACTAGAGCCTGATTAAGAAGCCTTGGGTCTTGCTTAATTGAGGTTCTTAAATATGAGCCCTACTATTCTGGGGCTATGAGTAGCTGGGCTTCTTAATCAGGCTCCTACATTAGGGACGGGGGTTCGCATGCAGCTGCGAGCTGCTCGCTTACACGTGGCGAGAGGGAGAGAGAGAGAGAGAGAGATGCAAGTAGGTAGATTTGCAAAGGTGCATAGAGATACGTACGATCAACATCCTGTACTCCAAGAATTTACATGTCTACCTGCATCCATTCATATATGCGCACTCATGCACGCGCACATGCACACACACTTGCAGATTCAATTACATACGTGACATGCATGCGGGCATAGATCCATCAGGAAAGACAGGCAGACAGGAAGGCAGATGTTACCCAATGTTCAGGCACGTGTACACGACAGGTACAGAACAGGCCAGCTTTCTAGCTATGCTACTAGCCTCCTAGATAGCTATAACTTGACGCAAACGCGTTCGCAGACAAGCGGAGTGACACAAGGGTCGCTCGCCAAACAGACACATTGACATGTGATTATATAGATATGCAGGTGACCATAGAGACGGCTAGTGGAATAGCAGGGTAGACAGATAGGTTATCAGAAAGAAGCAGAACGAAAAGAAGGCGAACAGGTATACAAAGGTAGAGTAGCAGAATATACAGATACAATATAACCAGCGCTCGCCCGGAGCGTCCGGCTGGTGCCAGATCACTCTCTGCGTGGGTAGTCTGGAAAAGGGCCAAATTTACTAAAGGGCTTTGGGTATCGGGCCTGGGTTCTAGACTCAAGGGATGCAGACTTGGATCTCGTGTTGCGTTGGCTTTAGCCCATCTAATCTTGCCAGCCTCCTCCGCCTGCCATCACCACGGCGCGTGGCCTCAAGACATGCGGCAATGCGTTTGCTCACAAGATGCTTCATCTTGGGCAGAACGAACACATTGCACTTCAGGGCCTTCTACTTCACCCAAGAACAAACAAAGCGAGACATCGTGACACGATTGTGTGTCCCTGCTGGGCAAGTGGCAGCAGCAGGGGTGAGGACGCAGCAGAAGACCATTGCTTTCGACAGAATCTGGGTATACGATCCTAAGGTTGTCTGGTCTTGCTGGGTCTCAAGCAAGCTGTTGGCCATTCAGGTTTCAGGAGATTCAGGCTTAGCACGTACTGATGCAGCTTTGTTTCAAGCTCCAAGGCTTGGCGGAATACAAATCCGCGGCAGCGAACACGGTCAATGCATGGAAACTCGAAACTACCATCCTGCTGCCACAAAAAAAGCAAAAACCCGACATGCGTGTATGCACGCTTCCCGATGCAGAACAATGCCGCCATTAATGCCTCTTGCCAATTCGGATTAGCGTGGCCATCATGGTCAGGTACTCGCCAGCGCGTCGCACATAGTCACACTTTCGGCTACATAAGGTCGATGCTGCGGGATTGCGGACACTTTTTCCATTGCAAGCAGGCATGAAAGTCTCAGTCCGTTCGGAAAAACGCACACCTCCCCCGTTCAAAATGACGCGAAACACATTCAACAATTGCTAGGACCACCTCAATTTGGGTCCAGTAGCACATCGTCGGCTTCACAAGCTCTGTTCGCAAGGATGGGTCCCAATAGTACCTTCCAGCAACCTTCCCAGGGAAACTCAAATTAAGAGTCACTGACAAGACCCTCCAAAACCATTAAACATCGCGAAACCTTATTAGGAAGCTCGAAACTTTCCCTAAACCGCTGATGAAAACGGCATAATGTGAAGGAGCCCTACTTCAGGGTCATGCATGTCAGGCCCACCTGTCAAACTCTCACGCGCTGGGGAGATGAGCTCTCCTGTCTTCAGAGTGCAGCAGCCAGGGTTCAGCACATAGGCAGAGTAGTGGTTACAAGAAACAGCGAGACAAACTTCATGGGGGGAAAGGCTTACAACTTTGCTGCGCTTATGGGGGGAAAGGCTTACAACTTTGCTGCGCTATCAGGAACCTCAACGTTTGACGAAGCAAGACTACTTCCGAAAAATCCGATACCTGTCAATGGTGCCTTGTCAGGAGCTGGCTCAGCAGCGACAGCAAGGCATGTCGTTCAGAATGCCAGAGGCGATCGTGCTCTACCTCACATCAACTGAGCTACGTAGCCCCCAGAACTTTACACCCACACACATAAAATATATATTCTTTTAGACACACAGATACTCATACATACATACATACATACATACATACGTACATACATACATACATACATACACACATACATGCATGCAAACATACATACATTTATATACATATATATATACACACACATACATACATACGTACATCATACATACGTCCGTACATGACAGATGCGCCAAATGATCCATGTCTAGCGACTGCTTCGAGCTCTGTCGCCGAGGCGAGCTTACCAGCATTTACGTCTGCAGTGATTCGAGGTCTCTGTGCAAGTCAAAACACGTAGACTTGCATCAGCAGCTTCATGTCTTCGTAGCGCCTGCCGGGGAGAACTGTCGAACTCTCAGGCTAGACGCAAGGATTGTGCGGTCACGACCACAAAAAGTACACAGGTCTCTGTAGAATGATTCACTCTTAAAGTCACCGCCTCGCCTGCTTCCGCCGTGGCCAAAGGGGCGGCATCGCACGGCCTCGGCTCGTGCCGTCTTGGAAGCTGGCTTCCTACCTCGCCCTAAATTCGAAGATAACGATGTACGAAAAGGTGGGCGCTGAGATAGGTCAGCTAGTCCCGACTTCCTCTTGCTCCGTGTCCCTATTCTCCTGCTTTTCAAACGTGGTTTAAAGAATGCTTTATGGAATAGCAGGCAAAGACATATCTAACATGCACGTCTGCAGGACTTCTGCCATGTTGTACCTTACTATACTACATGCTAACAATACTATTGTTATTACTATTATTTTCATTGCTGTTGTTGTGTTTATTGTTCCATGTTAACCACGGCAGTCTCGAGTCCTAGAGCTGGTGTCGGTTGATGGGCTTGATGCATTTGAGCAACAGAAACTCTTGTGTCGTGTCCCTGTCACGCTGAAATTCCCTGTTTATGCGTTGGCGTGGCATGTATGGACTACTTTTCGCAGCTTCCTTCAAGCGCACGTTGGTGCTCTGCTGCTGGATGGCGGAGCTATAGGCATGAAGAAACCCTGAGCTGAAGAGAGCTCTTTAATCTTTATAGTTGCACAGAGATGACTGTGGTCCATTGGTCGCTTGTCAGCTGTCACGAACCACAGACAAGGGGCAGCTTGTGCTACAGCTGCAGCATGGGACAGTGAATCAAATGGCGGGCTTGCCGCCAGGCAATATTGTTGGCATGGTGCTGGGGTATCCCAGAAATGCTCGAGCAACCTCGAGCATGACCCGCTGCAATGTTGTCCAACTTGGACGGTCATCCGGCGGAGACGGGTTGAGGATGATATGTCAAGTCGATTGTTTGAGCATGCAGTGCAAAGTGGCCCTTGCTTCGGTGGCGCAGCCTCCCGGCACATAACATCGACTAGCACTTCTTTGGCTCTTCTGTCGTCGTACACATTCGATTTAGCTCTGCCAAGCGGCCAGAGGGTTTTACACAAACGGAACCGCCGATAATAGCCTTCCTCTTGCAAGAAATGACCAAGCGAGAATAGAAGATGCGATCGCCACTTGGAGACAGCTGTTGTCGATGCGTTCCAGGCGCCGGAGGAGTGCATTCAGAGTTGACTGGAGATATCTGGAGGCCAAGGTGTCATCAGGCGCCTGTGGGGCTTCTCCAGAAAAGAGCTACTGTCATTGAATGCCGCCGACTCTCGACCAAGACTGCAGACCGCTCGCCAGAGAAGAACACGCAGGAGAGGCAGCGCCGACACTGTGGTCGTTGCCTTTCTGGTTGGTTCTTTTCCGGTGAATGGTCTGCGGTCTTGGTCTCGAAGACGGTCATGTCCATGTCGCTGGGGCAGTCGGGGACATGAGCAGCAAGGGCGGCACCAAGATCGATAGGCTGGTTTGGAGGTCACAGTCACGGTGAAGAAAAGCATCGAAGCGTGATTTGGGCTGCGGACGGTGTCGCCGCAGCCAATGTGACGAAGCGACCTTGATCGCTTCGGCTTGGAACATCCGTCTGCAGCTCCCGAAGCGGGATTCTACATAGCGGCTCTTCAAGCCTGACGTTGGCCGGTCGGACACGGGCTCAAGACTCGACGCGAGAATATTTTCAAACTAACACAGCTGAATGATGCCCAAGGAGCTTGTTTCCCGGAGCATAGCGCCATAGATGCCGGCAGTTCCTCGAGCTTCCACTTTCTCATGCTCTCTGTTGTCCGGAAGAATGTGGGCTTCGTCATGCAGCCGAACGCTTGCATCGGGGGCCTTCGCGACGGGCTCAGAGGCGGAGCTTCTGCCAGTGGCTCGTGCGGCACGACGGGCGCTGGGCAGCCAAGCCTCAGAAATCTGCCCCTCGTATGTTCTGAAGCTTAAGGCTTAGAGCTTCCATTTTCGGGTCTTTATCATGAGGACCCTGATATTTAGGGTGATTTTCTTTCGGGATCCCTCATTTCTCCGAAACTCCCAAACCATTGTCGTGTGGCAGATGAATCCAAGTGGCACATGACGACGCAGATCGGAGCGACAAGGAAGTCTTCCTCAACACCTGACCCCCCGTTGCAAGCGACAACTCTTTTTGTCTTGCTTGCTGCGAAATGCTGGCTCAACGCAATGTCTGTGGCAAAACCATACATACATCATTTCCGCTGAGGCACGTGAGCCGTGTGCAATTCTCCAAGGTTGAACTGCGCGGCGAGGACCGCATCTTGATCGCTTGGCTGCAGCCAACCTGACGCCCAAGTGCCGAGAGTCCAGTTCTGCTCTTCGGGTTTCGGGCTTTTGGCTTCGTGTCCTTGCCTGCATACGGCTACAGGGTAACATGGCAATGGCTGGTTTTGGTGTGTGATAGCACTGATCAACAAAACAAGGACAGAATTCGGAATGGATGTAGAAGAAACATTTGTAAATATGTAAATCCATCCTTGCTACATTTACACACATAGACATAGACATGTATGTTTCTGCCATGGACTCTTCTACCCCGTCCTTTCTTTGAAGGGGTTGGTGTCGGTGTGGGAAGAGGGACAAGCGAAAGACTGGGAATTGTATAATTGTGCAACTGCCTTGCAGCCGGCGCAGCGCGGGCTTCACACGACGCCGGGCAAAGGCTGCCGCCTGATCGGATAGCGAGCTTTTCGATTTCAAGTTTCTATGGCCCGAAGAACCCGCGCCAAGGTGGTTTAGTGGAGATAACTTCAAACAACTCGCATCGACCGAACAAGCTAGACAAAGCATCGAACAGCGCATGATATGTGAACATCCTACTGCCCAACCTATCAAGGCAGTTGGCACCTGCGATGCCAAGAGAGCGTGGCCCAGCAGCTCGAGCACCAAAGCTTCCTGATGCGCGGTATTCTGCTAGGTTCGTGGGAGGGTCGCAACATGTTCACCGAGATCTGATGCCTGATACCCTCATAGTGTGTCCTGGTTGCCGTCTGCCGTTCTCACAAACTGGAGTGAATCGGCAAGATGTGGGAGGAGTCGCATTTGACCTCCACTCTCGAAGGCCTGCTGCGGTCAAGGCACCACAAATCTTGACGACACGCTCCGCACATACAAAATTGGGCATACTGAGGCAGTGGATTCTGCTGTAATTTGCCCTGAGCCACCATCGCCCAGCCTTGATGGTCGCATCCAAGGTAAGGAGATCTGGCTGAAGTCCTCGTCCCTGCAGGGAAGTGAAACCCACAGGCTCGGAGACGTTGACTTGCTGCAAGTCGTCAGCACTCATGGTCTCAACAGACTCTGTCCTCGTCCAACATGGTGAAAAGCCGTAGCCTGGGAGTGAGACGACAGCGCAGCATCACACAACACGTGCTAGTTCAGGCGTAGATGGTGGATGATTCTCTGCGGATGTCGCTGATCTCTCCTTCTCTCCTCTGTGCATTTGGGAGCATTAACATGAGAAAGCAAGGGTCGAAGGGGGCCCTGACCCACCCAAAACGAAGAACCATTTCTAAGGCGGCGGTATCAACAGTAATTGCTAATTACGACACTACGAGTACAACCTCTAGGCCACTACTGTAAGCCTCCCTTCAAGACCCCAACAACATCTGAATCTGGGTATTCTCAAGGTCTTGTTCTCACGAACACCTCCAATACTGGGGCCGCTGAGCTCGCGGTTAGCATGCGGAACAGGTGGGCGACCAGGACTACACAACCAAATCAGTGGACCTGTATCAAATTGCGCAATGATGATAGCCACAGTCTCAAACCACTTCTCTAGGTCTTGACTCGTCCTCGTCGTGCAATCAAGCAGCGCATGGGTCCAGCTGTCGCCCCGTTGGCAAGCACGCGCTAGGCCGTTGAATGTGAATTGGTTCGGCAGCGGCCCTGCTGTCTGCATCACCTGGGACGTGAGCGTTTCTTATCATACGGTTTAAGGATTGTAGCTACACTTTATATCTGACTACCGCATTATACTTAACTTTCAACACGAGACTGCATGCGCAACGATGCTTGCCATATGCATATATGACACCTATATCGGTTTACGTATGCATGTTCGGTACATTACAGACAGCACACATCTGGAGGAGACAAAGATGCGGAAAATTGCGGCACGAATTACAAACAAGGCCTGGCTTGCGGAAGCAGGAAGCGGCAACACTGATCGCGTGCACTCAACTCTCGGCTCAGCTGTCCATCGAAAGACAGATGCCGGCGCAGTAGTACTTTCCATACTGGTTGTAAAGATAGGTTTCATGTGGCGAACACCAACCTTGCCGTACTTCACCAATGCCACAAGTCCAATGCTAGTCCGCTACTTCAATCAGCCTGGATGCATAAACCCCAAAGACATCGAGAAGCTCTAACCATTGACTTACATGGTAGAGCCAGCTGAAGCCCTACATGGATCCGTGAAGCCAGGAGCCCGACAGCTAAGATTTCTCTGCAGCCTATGCCTTTCCACTTGAACTCAAGGCGTTGCCAATCGACCCCCAAAACCCTAAACCCGAAAGTGCCAAACCGAAAAGTAAGCATTATAGAATCAGCACATGCAAGCCTGAAACCAGAAACCTGAAGTGCAACTGTGAAGCTTGCACGAGCGCCGCGGCTTGGCACCAAGATCCATTTTCGGCCCAGGCGCTGCAAAGGGCGCTGAATGCCTGCGCACCAGCCCGAAACTGCTGCTTTAGTGTTATAATAGGATTGTGTCAGGTTTCGTTGAGGGTTTAGATGGGTTGCGAGCCCATTGCGTGAGCTCAGTTGAGACGATTGATTGCAGCTCGTTGAACGGATATCTCAATGAAAGCCAGAACGTTTCTTTGCGAGTTGCCATCATTCGGTGCGTCTGGGATTCCGGAATCCAGACCATTATGAGAACTTAATGAGATCAACTGATGTCTGATCACCCACGGGATGCCTGCACGTTGGGCTGCACACTTTGACAGCCTCGCTTGCACATGGAGGCAGGCCAAAGGGATGAACGTGCAAAGGCTTTCTCTCTTGCAACTCAGGAGCCCATCACGCACAGCAGTTCTCCAGCAGTCCGCCACCGCTGCGCCTCTGGCCGTGCCCGTGCTGTGCTTGAGAAAAGTACACAGATGTCCGAGCCCAGCCTTTTCGGCTGCGGAGCTGGTGGCAGTGAAGGTGAAAACGTTGGCCTCCGCAGCAGCTCCGGAGATGAGGAACTCAGAACAGACACTTAGAATAGGGTTTTGGGGCCCATTCATTATACCATACTTATAATCAGGAACCCCCAAAAGTAGTATCGGTAACTATTTAGGCCCCTATATAGTCCGCCGGAGGCTGCCAAGAAAGCCGGCCTCTAGGGACTCCTGGCCGATGCTATGCAGCAAGCCCAGAGCCTGCCAGCAACTTGCGACGATTTCAGACTCGGCGCTCAAGACTCTCAGAAGAGAAACTTGCAACCGAGCCCTGCATATCATATGATAGTATATTGGATTCTAATATGTTATATTGCATTTTTTGTAGTATATTATATTCACACTGACAGTCCCACCTGCTGCCAGCGATAACCGCGGCCCCAGGCACTGACTGCCACGCTCCGCGTGATGATGTTCTGACGCAGACCCTGAGGCATGAAGGCACCATCGGTTTAGTTTGGTTTTTTGGGAGGGGTTATGTTTAGGGCTTATAAGGGTATAGAGAACCTTACATTTCCTCTCATCTTAGCAATCTATTAAGTACATCTGTTCTTATCTGGTTTGTGCTGTTTTGTTGCTTGATTGTCCGGTTGATCAGTGGTTGTATAGTTCTATTCATCAATGTTCAAGCAGTTCATGTTTCTAGAACTGTCGGTTTCCTCCTGAATTTAGTATCATCTGTAGATGACTTTAACATAGTAACATAATACAGTAAGGCATAATCTATTGTAGGAGATCATCCCCAAAAGGCGTGTTTATCCGAAGTGCTTCTAGTGCAAACATACCACCTGCATCAGACTTTCTCATTAGTTCGAAGTAGCACATCCCGGCTGCTTGGGCAATGAAGACCGAGCTACACAGGACGGCATACAAGGGTCCCCCGAAAGTCCCATCGTAGCTCAGCTCGAAGCCGCCAAAAGAAAAAGGGTCGCAAGTCAACATGAGGCCTCAATATGAGACAATATGAGGGCCGTAATAATTGGAATGGGGGTTTGGGGCCCATCATACCATAATTATAATCAGGAACCCCCCAAAATAGTATAGGTAATTATTTAAGCCCCTACCGTACCTTTTAAAGGAACCCTAACCCTAAACCTTTCACCGGGCAGAAGGGAGGACGTGGGCCTGCAGTTGCGACTCCACGCCTCCATGTGCATCCAAGCGGCTCACCTCATCTGCACCTTCGCAGACTCCGCGCCATGTTGGCGCGTTGACTAGCATTAACACAATTCCAAGCTCGCTGTAGAGCTTCATCCGGAGCGAACGGTCTATTCCCGCAGCTCAAGGCAACTTTCCGTAATGGGGCAACACTCGACGTCTGAATGACCTGGCACAGTATCTCCGCAACCTGGTCGGGATCCCGAAAGAAGGGCCGTAGCGTAAGACCAATGCGTGGTTCACGGCAGTTCAAAGCCCGTAAAGAGAAAACTTTACCCCTCCGTGGGGGCCACAAGGCCACATGTGACAATCGCTCCAACTGTCGCACAGCCTCGACAAGACTGTGGTTCAGCTGACGCAATGTCGTCGGTATCTGTAAGTTGTCAGTGAGCACTGCTTCATGCGACTTTTCGACATCCAGTCCGGCAGGCGGACAAATTCCTGTTGTACACACAAAAGCAACCAGCAGCTCAACGTAGGCAACTCCGCAAGGAGCCCGTCCCGTGGGCATGTGGACCGCCCACTCAAGCGTGCGCAGCCATTCCCATAGTGGCACTGTAAACCACGGGGGCCAGCTGCAGGCCAGTAGCCACTCCCGTTGGACGATACCGACATTCCACGTTTGGTGCAGCCCTGTATTCAGAGCCAGCCACTTGTCGATCGGCGGGCCGCGAGGGAACAGCTCATCTTCAGTCTGTTCCGTCCCGGTACCAGACGACCGCAAGAGACGGGCCTCCTCAAATGAGAGTCGTGCCAGGTAAGTCCAGAACTGTTTGAGGAGTCGACGCTGGTCCTTCAAGAAGTCGTTGGCGGCATCTGCTATGTCTCGAACGCACTGCATCTCCCGACCGACGGCGGCTTTCGCTGCCACATCAGCGGCCTCATTTCCCGCTGCAACCCACTGCTCCAAGCCCCATAGCTTGTTGAGGTCCTGGTGGGACGCAACTTTCCGGAGGCGCACCGGGAAATGCCTAAGCCGGGCCAACATCGCACCCAGATCAGGCCAGGTACAGTCCTGTCCTGCGCATGCCCTCTCCCATTCCCTAATGGCAAATGCACTATCCGTCCAGATTTCAGCGGAGGGGGCCGACAACAGTTGTGCGACCCTAATGGCCTGGATAAGCGCACACACTTCAGCACGGTTGATGCTCTGCAGACCAGGCACGCTTCCTTGACACACAACTCGAAACTCAGTAGGTGGCATAGCTGTCTCGCGCCACTTTGCCAGCAAACCTGGTATAGCCTCATCGCATGTGCTTGTGTCCAACACAACAGCAAACGCAGCAAGAGAGGCCTCCGGAACAGTCGGGTGACGGCAAGAGCCATCCGTGAAGAGCCGAACAAAAGGCCGTGATCCAATTTCCTCGTAGGTACCTATCTCAGTCGTTGGACACGGAAGCGCTCGTGTGGCAAAAATCAAGTTGTTCACTTCCAGGTCTGGGGGAGCAGCCGCAAACGGCGCATGTATCCAATAGGCTTTCGTGGCAACAACTTCTTGCAGCACTTCCGTAAAGTCAGCCCGCACACCAGCCAAGGCCGGGCAGTGCAGGAACTTGTGCTCTTTGGTTTGCAATTGGCCACACAGGGCACACTGCGGAGTCTCAGAGGGGTCCCATTTGTGGCGGGCTGCAGCAGAGGAGAAAGCCCCTGTGATATGTCGAGCCAACACCAGCTGGTCGTTGATCTTAAACTGTTGTAGCAAGCGTCCAGTTTCTTCAGTGTGGACCGGGGGGGCAGCGGCCAACCCATTGCGGTGGGCAACCTGCTCTTGCACATGAAGAGCCCATGTACGTCGCAACAGTCGTCGAATCTCAGTCTTATGGCAGCTCGTGACATCAACCCATGTATTATCACGACCCTTGATCACCCCGGCAGAGGTTATCTGTAGGCCCAGGCGGTCCAACGCCAACCGCAGTGCTGTCGCAGGCCCTTGGTAAGAGCGGGGCGGCTGTGCTTGCGTAGCAAGTTCCAGCAGCGAGGCAGCCAGGTCTGGGTCGCAAGAACATGTTCGGCGGAGCAGCTGCAACTGTTGTTCTATGCAGTACAACTCAGGATCCTGACAGTGAGCAGACAGAGCAGACAACGCGAGAAACGGAGACAGGACCTTGTGCTGGCCGACGATAGCTCGAGCGGCTCGCCCCCGGAGTTGACTAATCTCAGCCTGGGAAAACAGGTGGCCCTCAGCACCGTACAGGCACGCCGTCCAGACGCCTCGCTGAACCATTGATGCCTTGAGGCAGGGGCTGCGAGGCTGCTGCCGGAGACGATCGAGTCGCTCCAGTCCGTCCTGTAGCCGACTTGAGCGGGAGGCGGCGTGTGGCCGGCCATCGTACTTGAACGACACACCAAGGTCCCGGACCTCGCTAACAAGTGGCACTTTCGTGCCCTCTGGGAAGACCCTGTTATGAGCCGTTTGCCACCATTTACGGCCTTGGGCAGAGGTGGCCCACGTGTAGGACTTGGCCCAGTCAACAGGGAGAGAGAGTGCAGATAGAAAACCTGTGGCCTTCGGAATTGCAAGCTCTATCGCAGCTCTGCTGTTGCTTGACCAGCCCCAGTTATCGACATAGGTGTCAAAGGCTACCATGTCGGTACGGCAAGCCTCCTCAGCGAAACAGCACACAACCGCAAGGGCTGCAACACTGAGCGGGTCACCTTCTGGGGCCCCGTTGCTGCAAGGAATTCCTGCAGAAAGGTCTCCAAGAAAGCTCGAATGTCGTTCAAGTTTGCACAGGCAGTCCAGCCAAAAGGAAATCACTTGTTGGGGTGCACCGAGGCGGGTCATTAAAACCTGAACCGGGGGCCAACCTAGCTGGTTAAAGCACTTCACAATGTCCAAAGAGAAGCCGACACGCGGGGCCGCACCCATAAGCGAAAGCTCAATCAAGTGCTGCTGTTTGAGGCTCACCTCTCGGCACGACTTTCCCGGCATCGATCCAGCAACGGCGGACGGGAAAGTGTCCTTCCAGCTGTGAAGCAAAGAGCGTGTCACAATCGACGCCCAGACCCTATAGAGTGTGCTGAAGATAGTGATCGGCCTGCTTTGTTTAATGTGGTCCGGGCACAGAACTTTGGCCAGAACACACACGCGGGCACGGAGGATATGCTGCGGCAGGCCATGGCGGACTGCAGCCGTGAAGACTGCGCTTAGCACAGAGAGGGCCTCATCAGACAACAACTTGAGGTCCGAAGGGGCCCAGCCACATATCCCGGTTGACTTGCGGGCCGGCATGCGTTTAATTGCATCTCGCCATTGTTGCGGTGAGCACTGTATGTCGATGCCAGCATCAGGGGACAAAGTGGAGCGCGCGAGCACTGCCTGGAAATCAGGCCAGGAAGAAAGGTCACTGCTGGCGGCACCAGAGTCCCGCTGCCACAGGGGTGCCCAAAAGCTCCGGAAGGCTGCGTGCAGCTCTGGGGCCGTACACGCAGTGTAAGATTGCGAAAGCTGAATCTGATCAGGAAGCGCCGTCCCTTGCAACCGAACGTACCTATCACCAGCCTCTAACACCTGGCAGGGCACCCCATCAAGCTCTGCACTGCCGTGGACATACAAGGCATGCTCAGGCACCACAAACTCACGGGGACATCCATGCAATGGGGACGTCGTGTGTACAGCCTGAACGCGAGCAGCCACAGTGCAGGGCACTTCAGTGAACGGCGGGTTGGGCGGGGCCCGCATGGCAGCAAAGCCCTGGCGGGAGCCCCCTACCTCCGCATCGACATTGACCCGGAGGAGGAAAGTATCCCGTCGGAGTCGGGCCTCTTGACGGACCAAGGCGTCACAATCATAGCGGCAATAGGCCACGACATCAGTCAGCCATTCAAGTGGCGGCAGCTCAACATAAAATTCGCTAAAGCAAGCCACATTGAGCAACCAGTCGGAGAAGGGCGGATAGCCCTTTGCATGTTGCACAGCTCGCCACTCCCTCTGGAGTTGGGAGCGAAGGTCATGTCTGGTGGTGGCGCCCATCAACTGCAACTTGGCAAGGCCGCTGCGGAGAGTAGTGAGGCGACGGACCTGTCGGACCTTGAGGCGTCCGAGCACCGATGTGACCTCAACATCCGGGTTGTAGCCTCCCGACCAATCTGGACGGCTCCTGCAGGCACTCTCCTGTTTCAAGTGCCGTCGTGGCTGGCACCGCCCACGAAAAGCGCGGGGCAAGCAGAAGTTGGGGCAGGAGACGGGGTCCAGCTCGTGCTGTTTTCTCAACGCAGCTTCAGCAGCAGCCTCGGCCGCCTCTGAGAAAGCCCGTAACACAGCATCAACGTCATCCGTGTTCTGGCAAAGGGCAGCTTGTCGTTGCAATTGTGGGGCGCGACTCCGAAAAGCTTCCGCAAATGTGAGTCGGTCAACTCCTAGCTGGGACCAGGGCTTAGGGAGGCGCCAGACCCTGGTACAAGGGCGGGCGTGGCAACTGCACAGGCTGAAACACAACGGTTCGTGTGAGTCAAACAGCTGGCGCTGGAGGACCCAAGCTTCTCTCCAAAGGCGGGCCAGCACAGGATGCAGTATCGCGGTGTCGTGACGTGTACTCCCTTTACAGGTTGGCGGGAGGTCCTGACCAGCACGATGACGGTACAAATCAAAGACATCCTGGTACCCTTGCGCCTGAAAAGCCTGTCCAGCTGGGCAGTCAAAGGGCCGCATGTTGAAGTCGCCCGCCACAATGCAAGGAATCGGATTCTGGGACGCCCGAAGAAAGGCTTGTCGAAGAAGCTCATTGGTGCGGTCTTTGGCGTCAGGCTCAGACATTGGAACACCGTAGATGGTGAGGACACGTATCTCCAGCGCACCAAGCCGGACGAAAGCTTCAGCCAATCGACACGTAGCAGATGCCTCAGGCGGTAGCGGCACACTAGATCTGCGGGAAGGGAGGCGGGACAAGAGCCCCACCCCAGCAGCAAGGCCCCGCATCGAGGGCCGGTCAGACTCGGCACGGCAATGGGGCTGCACAGGGTCACCCCAATGGGCCTTGAAACCATGTTTGCGGAGTGCAGCGGCAGTAACTTTCTGGGCACGGGCCACAGCAGAGGTTTCAGAGAGTGATATCACATCCGCCTGGACTGCAACTAGGGCCTGCACCTTGTTGAGAACACTGGTCGGATTCACAACCGCAAAAGTACAAAGGTCAGACTTATCGTCAGCAGGGGCCGACGGCTCCGGAGCGGGACCGAAAAAGTGATGTAAAGACGGCTGACTATGAGGGCCAGGGTTAATTGCCTCGCCCACACGAATGCCACTATACAGACCAGGCCGCCATCGCACCGGCAAAGGTGCACCACGCAAAGCCCGGGGAAACATTTCAAGTGGTATCACACCTGGGGAAAGAAAGAAAGTCAGGTAGCAGTGAGGATTGTTCAGAGGGCGTTCCCCCGCTCTCATACACACTTGGGAACACCAGGCCTGCTGGCCTGTCAGCAAAAGAATGGGAACTGAGTCAAGACGTACGCTTGAGTGGTAACGGGCCGGGCCTATGTGCCGACAACGGAGCCCCGCAGGGCAAAAGCGAGTCACAACCCTAAGTTGTGTGCAAACCCCTGCCACACTGGATGTGGCAATACCCCAGTCACATCTGGCACTAGGCCATGTTCGCTGTCACAAGTCATGGTCGACTCGTGCCTTCTTGTTCTCATGCGAAGCCAAGATCAGGGCTTTCAACTCAGCCATACCATTGGCAAGCTGTTGGTCTTGTTGGGCTTGGGCATTGCTGAGGCTCGTCGTCCAAGCCTGGAAATCCTGTCGGAGTCCACTACCGAGGCCCTGGACCTCAGTTCGAACAGCTTGTATGTCTTGGGTCAAGGAGGCCTTATCCTTAGCACGCTCAAGATTGGCAGCGGCCTGTTCATCACGCAACTGTTGCAGCCCTTTTTCAAGTTCTGAAATTCGACTGTCCTGTTGCACCAAACGGCCGGCAGTGGCACTATCAAGAGGCGCCGGTGCGGTCAAGCCAGGCGGGGAGCGAGACTGAGGCGCAGCTTGCGAGGCACGATAAGAGCTCCACGGGTCACTCTCAAGCCAAGGGTCGGTCTCAGCTTTGGTGACAGCAGCGCCTGGGTCGGACCGCGGCAGAGGGCCACCAGCTTGCACAATGGGAGGCCTGACATCGCGGCCTTTCACAGCAGAGGCAAGCACAGGTGTAGTATTGAACAACATGGTGGCATCAGGGGGGGCCGAGGAAGCACCCAACAACCAGAACTGCGGACCCAGACTTTTTATGACCCTGGTGGGCCAGTTCATGCGGCGAGACCACTCCCGGACGGCTTCAGCAGATGCTGCAGCAGGGAAGGGGCCAACCTTCCAAGTTTCAGTAACCTCCAGGCTATCCGGCACATCCGCTCCCGGTCGGAGTTGTACAAAGACCTTACGGAAGGCTGAGGACGGAACTCGGAGGCCGAACTTATTCTTGCCTCTGACCAGTCCATGTTGTTCAGGAACCAGCAATGCTTGTTTCTCAACATCATGCCGGGAGACCGGCAGCCACACAACTGACCATCCTGAGAGAAGCTGGCGGTCCCACGTGCGAGGCACCACATACACCTTGTTGAACCCGCTTTGCTGAAGCATTGCCTTAAGTTGTCCCTGCGGCACCTTGGCGTAAAAGACAAACTGATCACACAAGTGAGGCATGCTGGTCTTGCCACCAGCTCGGTACGCACGGGCCCAAGGATGGTGAAGTGCGTCCTGTACCCCTCGTGCACGGAAAGCTTCAATGACGGATCGCACTGGGGCAGCAGCAAGGTCCCGCCACTGTTGTTCATTGGCAAAGTCCTCCTGACACATGGTGAAGGAGCAGCAAATGGTGTCCTCCACATCAACCCGGGTACCATGCTGCAGGTGGGGGGTGATGTCAGTATCCCCAACATTGTGGTAACAGGCAGCAATGAGGTGCTGATGGCCAGTTTGCCGATGCAGCACTGGGACGCTGGTGCGCCCGGAGCAGGATTCACAATCCGGGCAGCGGTGACCCGGCACCACCAAACACAGGGCTTCAGATCCCATATTCCTCAGGAGAGCGATATCTTGTGCATTGGCCTGGGACGCATCCATCAGCACCACACCTGTAGCATCGGCACTGATTTCATCCAGGACTGGGACAACTTGGCCGTCCATCCCACACCACGTGTCGGGTTGCAACTGAAAGTCACATGCTCGCACCGGGCGCTGCTGATGAAGGCGCTGGCGACGCACTGCTTGCTGTATTCGCTGAGCGGCTTTTTCATTTCGATTGTCACCGCTTGGGAGCTGCTGCCCCTTGGACTGGGCGGCCTTGGAGAGCTGCGACCACTGAGCCTGTGTGTCTGATTGACGGAGTGCATGCAAACATGCCGCTGTACCAATCTTAGGCAGGACTGCATCGACCGTGGCCTGTGTGGCTTCTAGGGACACCCCTCTTTCCAGCATCAAAGTAGCCATCTTGCTTTTGGCAAAGGCAGTGTTTTCATCCTTGACTCCCCCTCCCCTCACTTCCGGCATGATAGTGAGGAGTGGCAGCTGGCTTTGGCACTTGACATGGAAGCCTTCAGCAGACAGCAGCTCGCCTAGTGACGCCTCCGCTTCAAGCCTGCGGGGGCCTGAGAAGATCCTACAGCCGGGCCAAGTACCAAGGGCATGGCAGGCAGTGCGCCAAGCAGCCTCAACATCATTGGGCGTCAAAGCTTCGGGCAGCAGGACGCGACAAAGCGACCTGGCTTCAATCTGCACCTGGAGCGGGCCGACCAACAGTTCCCTCGGATTTTGGGCCATCGCAAGGAGCTGGGACTGAAAAGCCAGGTCACGAAGATACAGCTTGAGTGCAGCTGTAGACAATGCTGGTTGGGGGGAGGCCGGCTGTAACGTGATCAACATTGTGCTATCAACCTGTTGTGGCGGGTCATCACAGTCAGCAGCCCACCCGAGGCACTCCAACAGATGGTATGGAAGCTGCAGCCACCACTGGAAGGCAAACTGGGCAGGAACCCCAACATAAAGGCGAGGCAGGTCTTCAGCAACAATACTTGCTCCAATGTGGGCCTGGTCCAGCCGGGGCTCATGGAAGTGAATATCGTTTGCAGAACCCGCAACAAAGGTAATAGGCGGAAAATCCTCAACCTGTTGCACCTTGGCACCATAGGGTGTCATGCACACAACTGCTGGCTGTTCGCTGCTGCGGCACCTGTCAAAGGCCCACTTAAGCTGGTGGTAAACATCTGGGACTGCCGGTTTGATAGCAATCAATCCTCCCGAAGTGCAGAGCAGAATGGGGCCCTCACGCTGCGCCCGCACACAAGGCTGGGCGGAGAAGCGCAATGGTTCAAGTTCTGCAGCAACTACCTGGTGTCGAATGTGACCGGCAACAGCAGGGGCACCGTACTGCACAGGCCCCGCGGGTTTGACCTGGAGTGACTCCAACAGAACCTCAGGCTTGATATGGGCCGAGAAGTGTACCGACCTGACGACAAACGGTTCCCGATCGGTGCCCTCTGAGCAGAGGATCTGCATCTCATGAAACACAACCGAAACTGTCGCCATGCCTTTTTCAAGAAGTCGCCGCAAAGCCCGATCAGCAAGCAGGTCTCCCAGCGCATCGTGACCGATCAGGGCCCACCCCTGGGGTAGGCAAAACAAGGCACTATTCCCCGCATGGAGTCGAGTCTGCAGGCAATGGTGGACGGCAAATTGCGGATCTACCTTGTGACCCTGAGGGAACAGGAGCAGTGCATGGGCCAAAGTAAGCATTGCCTGCGGCACAGCCAAGCTATTGCCAAGCAGTCGCATCGCAACTTGATCGTCGTGACTAATCAGAACAACCCGCTGGGCTCCGTGACAACAGGCTATCTCAGGCGCCGCAAAGAAGCGGGACTCACCTCGCTCGTGGAGGAGACTGCAGAGGATCCCTCCTCGAGTCAGCATACCTGCTGGCAGCTCATGTTGGCGGTGATAGCACGCCATGAAACACCTGGCCTGCTGGGCTGGAGAACAAAGCCGGTACCGGCGTGCGTCAAGTGCAGATGTACCCTGACCTAGTGGGAGAAACCATGGGTCTAAGTAAACCTGAAGAAGCTCAGGGGTGAGCAGGCAGGGTCGAAGCAAAGGCTCCGGGAGATGCTCGAAGATGGCTCGCATGCCGCCCAGGCTGGGTCGGCGGACCGGCTGCCACATGCAATTCCGGAATTTAAGCGTCTCTTCCATGCTCACTGATTCATGAACAAACACAAACATGCTCCGTGGGCGGCGTGTCGGCAGGACCTCTGACAGTTGAAGTGTCGACTCAAACAACCGTCGATATCCGGCCTCATGCCAAGCCTGCATAACGGCCGGGTAGTCAGCATGTCTGGAAAACCCTACAACCTCTTCAAGACACACAACCTTAACCCGCACCACCCGCATGATGGATGCTAGCTGTAGCAAAAGGCGGCCGTCAGCACTTTCTAGTCCCGACCCATGTCCGGCCTCCGACCAAGGTTGGCATGGAGGTGAACAAGCAAGGATGTGTGGCGGTTTGGTGTGCCAAATCTTATGCCACCAGCTGTGCTCCACATTGGCCAGCAACAAAATGGGACCCTCATCCGGATCAGCATCCATAAGATCACCACTCGTGTTTGCTACTTGCAACTCAGGCATCATGGCACGCATGGGCTCTTCAGTTTCACCGTCCAAGTCAAGAAGCCAGGAAGTACGGATCTGGGCACCCTGTGACGATAGGCTCCACGCCGCTTGGCTCCACCCCGCGAAACCTCCGCAGAAAAGCTCGGCAACCTGAACATCCTCAAAGGAACGTAACGTGACATCCCCAGCAACAAATGCTTTCCTTAACCCTTTGCGCCGAACCAGAACCACAGGGTTTAGATCAACAAGGCTTATATGAAAGGAACCCAAAATCTCATTTTTGTATGTGGTTGGCTTTATTTGTGTTTAAAAGTGTTTTTTTGTATTTAAAAGTATTGTTTTGTATTTAAAAGTTTTTTAAATAGGTTTTTTTGTGTTTTACAGTTGTTAAAATTCTTTTATTTTATTTTTGGTGTAAAAAATACATGTTTGTGAATTTTGTTTCTGAGTGAGTCAATTGGCTTCCTGTTGTTCTACCTGGTTTCCTGCTGCTGTATGTCTACAAAATTGTTGTTTATTTGTTGTTGAAGTTAATAATTTTTAAAATTTAATCTTTTTAAATAGTTTTGGGTTGTGATTGAACAAAGAAGGGAGGCCGTAGTGACATGTTGACTTGCCTTGAGACCTTGCCCTTACCCACACGGATCGACTGCCCATCTCGGTTCGTGGACACCGTTGGCCGGGTGTCAGGTGCTGAGTCGATGGTACCTGGACCGCCTTGGGGCCAACGTGCCAGGGCAGTGGCATATGACACCCGGGCACATGGGCTAAAGTGCCGGGTGGGGTGGTCCAGTGGTTGCGGCTTGATTTGTTCTCCCAACCAGGAGGGGAGGCCATCCATGCTTGTCACGTTAGTTAGGGAGCCTTGCGACTTGGATCGACAGAGGCAGAGTGCCACCTTACCCACACGGATCGACTGCCCATCTCGGTTCGTGGACACCGTTGGCCGGGTGTCAGGTGTTGTCGATGGTACCTGGACCGCCTTGGGGCCAACGTGCCAGGGCAGTGGCATATGACACCCGGGCACATGGGCTAAAGTGCCGGGTGGGGTGGTCCAGTGGTTGTGGCTTTTTTATTTTTCTCCCAACCAGGAGGGGAGGCCATCCATGCTTGTCACGTTAGTTAGGGAGCCTTGCGACTTGGATCGACAGAGGCAGAGTGCCAGTCGAGCCTCTCGAGGTTGCCTTACTTAAGTCCCTGCCCCATCGGGGTTGCTCCCCACACCGTTGGCCAGGTCTAAGTGTTCGGTTTGAATCCAAGCCTAGTGAACGCCTTCTCTTCCATTTCCTTCTCTCCCATCGGTCTTCATCGGCTTCCAGCCCATCGAGAAGTGGATGCCAACTGCTGGGATCTCAGCATCAGCTTGCTTCAGCTACTTCCATTATTATGGTACAGTCCTGGCACCGAGGCTCATGACGAGGATCCTGAGGACATGCTGCCATCGCAGAGGACAAGCTGCCTTGCATAGTCAGTGAGCGTGTCATGTATCGCAACTTGCCGCTGCAGCAGTTGTGCTCGCTGTTGCCCTGCGTAATCTACTATAGTCGTGTTACAGCTGCTCTGTCTCTAGTCTAAGTCGTAGTAGGCCCCCCTGCAAGCCGGCAGATGTCGTCGATGTCGTGGAGTGACAGTGAGTCTGTGGGCTCGGACTGGGTTCTGGTTGACGATGAGGGTGCAAGTACTGCGGGCTCGGTCGCGGACAGTGCTGACGACGATGATTATGTGATTCCGTTCGACGAGATGCTAGAGGAGTCCTTTTCGACATTGTGGATGTTTCTGGATTCTAAAGAGCGTGGGCAAGTCTTTCGAGCAGCCTTCCATATCAATGAACAGATCATGTTCGTACTGTTTCCGAGACTTTTGCGGGATTTTAGGCAAGGCAGAGTGCCAGGAATTTTATATTTCAATGTGACAGACGAATGGCTGTCGTCACTGAATCAATGATTTGTCGTGTTTGTACAGCCTCCGCGACAGTATCACGGATCTTGGGGAAGGCAGAGTGCCGGGTTTGCGTGTGTTTAGGGGATTTTGAATTCGACGATCTAGCCAGCAGAGCTAGACTGTCCGATTTGAGACCTCAGCGGTAGTGTGCGCAACTTGGATTCAAAACGGTTACCCAGCATGACATGCTGACTACACAGTGCCGGGTGGCAGTGATGTCCTCAGGACCCTGCTGTCTCCGAGGCTGGCTGCCTGCCTGCATAGTCTGTCAGTGAGTTGACTTGCACCATACATGATCGACATCTGCCGGCCAGAGAATCAAGCGATTCATGCATACTGATGTAACAGTAGTAACAAAATGTTACATATCATTGATTAATGTACTATATAGTGATGCATTAGTCACTGTTAATGTTTTAATCGTTGGACAATTGTGTGCTCGATGAAAGCAGTGATGCCGACGACCTGCTCTGTCTCTAGTCTAAGTCGTAGTAGGCCCCCCTGCAAGCCGGCAGATGTCGTCGATGTCGTGCAGTGACAGTGAGTCTCTGGACTCGGACTGGATTCTGGTTGCCGATGAGCGTGCAAGCACTGTGGCCTCGATCATGGACAGTGACTACGATGATTATGTGATTTATTTCGACGCGCTGCTAGAGGAGTCCTTTTCGACATTGTGGTTCTTTCTGAATTCTGAAGAGCGTGGGCATGTCTTGCAAGTAGACTGGCATATCAATGATATGATCCTGCACGTACTCTTTCCGAGATTTATGCAGGATTACAGTGAAGGCAGAGTGCCAGGAATTTTATATTACAATGACGTGCGAGACGAAGCTCTGTCGTCAATGATGAATCAGTGATTCATCGTGTTTGTACAGCCTCCGAGACCGCATTACGGATGTTGGGGAAGGCAGAGTGCCGGGTTTGCGTGTGCTTAGAGGATTTTGAATTCGACGATCTAGCCAGCAGAGCTAGACTGTCCGATTGGAGACCTCAGCGGTAGTGTGCGCAACTTGGATTCCAAAAGGTTACCCAGCATGACATGCTGACTACACAGTGCCGGGTGGCAGTGACGTCCTCAGGACCCTGCTGTCTCCGAGGCTGGCTGCCTGCCTGCCTGCCTGCATAGTCTGTCAGTGAGTTGCCTTGCACCATACATGATCGACATCTGCCGGCCAGATAATCAAGTGATTCATTCATACTGATGTAACAGTAGTAACACAATGTTACATATCATTGGTTAATGTACTGTATAGTGATGCATTAGTCACTGTTAATGTTTTAATCGTTGGACAATTGGGTGCTCGATGAAAGCAGTGATGCCGACGACCGTTTCAAGGTGCTCAGGGAGTTCCGAGGCAGAGTGCCAGACTTCTGCTGCTGACCATCAGAATCAGGCCAATCACATTGACCTTGGCAGTGATTACTGGAACGAAGCCGTGCAACAACTTCGGTGGAATTGTTTACACTGTGGCAGATCAGCTGCCGACTATACCACCGGGCTCCGAAAGATCCAAAGGGCTGCACAATTGGATCAACGAATCAAATTGGCAGTTGAGGCCATCTCAGATTTCGGAGATATGGATATGAAGTTGTACAAAGCATGGACCGGCCAGACAGATGTGCTGCCTGGGTCGATCCCGCCACCTCGGCCATGCCAGCATGATGTCGAGACGTGGCCCATGGATGATGTTTTGATTTACGACCATCCCCAGTGGCAACTGTTTGTTGGCAGTATTGGTTGCCCGATCCGATATGACCAGCTCCGGGTCAAGCCTGACATTGTCATCTCTATGAATGCAGATGACAGACCTCGGAATTTTGAGCCATGGGACTGGTATCAGTATTTGGCGAATTGTGGACCGTTTGGCACTGCACATCTTCGGTATGGTGGCTGGGATCAAACACATGCCAATGACTTTGATGCTGAACAAAGAAGTCATGAGTTCAAGACCATTTGGCGCCGCCTCATTTCAGATTTCAGAAAGATTATGATGTGCTGGCAGCGCTCAGCAGAGGAGTTCAGCCAGAGTCAAAGGCAGAGTGCCATCAAGGGCAAAATGATGGGCAAGGCCAATGGCGGCAGGGGCAAGGGCAAGACAATCAGCAAGGGCTACAGCGGCCCCTGTCAGGTTTCCAATCACATGCAAAGCCAGAAGGCATCGACGAAGGGCTCATTTGGCTATGGCTGCTCCTATGACAAGGGCTTCAGCAAGGGAAGTGACATGGGCAGCCTGTTCGGAAGAGCCGCTGAAGGAAGGCAGAGTGCCGATGGAAGGCAGAGTGCCTTGAAGGTGGCCGATGAGACATTCCCTGGTGAGCTCGGTAATGCTCTTGCTTTGTTGGAGGCGATGAAGCTTCAGGGAGGTGGTCGGAAGCGTGGAGGCAAGAAGAGGCCAATTCGTGTGCTTGTCCATTGCTACGGTGGCATTAACAGGACCTGTGCTGCTTATTGTGTCCTAGTCATGGCCTTTGCCTCGATGACCATGGAACAAGCCATTGTCAGGTGGATCAACCACCGAGCCTACTATGCTCCATTCCGGGATCGTGAGTACATGATTGAAGCACTGCTGGAAATGCAGGATGAGCTGCACACGTACAGTTGATCATCGACACTGAACCCGAAGTCCATGGTCAAACAGTTCTGCTCCAATGAATGATTCTGAGCCGTCGAAATTTGTGTCCCGACACTGGCCCAGCCAGAGAGTCCTGGACCCGACACTGGACTGCTGGCTGGAAGTGAAACACAGTCCTTACCTTGAAAAGGCTAATAGTTACATTCCCACTTTCAGCTGGCAGTCACAGCTTAATTCGTGCGTTTAAACCTGGCTGCCGGTGTTACTGACTGAGCTTAAAAAGAAAGTGAGATCATGCCCGTCTCGGTTGTGGAAACTGTCAGTTCCTTTGTCGGTTGTGCCGACATGGTGATCAGGGCCGCTGGGGCGATTGGATGAGTGAATCCAGCCGGCGACTCAGTGGGTGCAAATGTGACTTTAACAGTCAGTCTCCGGTGATTGTAATGAGTGCTCATTTTTGCCTACTTGTGCTGTTGCAGCAGTCTGGTTCAGGTAAGGCAGAGTGCCCTTGTC